CATGCTATCCCTACTAAACTATATATAACTATGATATAACTGAGACCAATGAGCTGACCTACGCCACAGCTACAGTGATCCTAGAGATGCTTGGCTATAAGATAAACACCACAGGCCACAAAGCAGAGCCTAGAAGAAGGCTGGAAGCCAAGATCAAGGCAACACGAAGAGAGGTTAGTCAGCTCTCACACCTGCAGAAAGGTGTAGGGAAGAGGTTACCTAAGTACAACAAGCTGTCGATTCCTGAGGCTCTAGACCAGGGGTCTGCAACCTGCGGCTCCAGAGCCACATATGGCTCTTTGGACCCTCTCCAGCGGCTCTTAATAGTGGCTAAAATGTATATAAAGAGCTAAATAATTTACTACAATATATACCGGTATCAATAGCTTTAGCGTTTTTTATAAGATGGAAAAGAATGAGATTAAAAGAACCAGAAATATGTTTTAAGAGACATTTTTCTATGAATTAGCTTGAAAATTATACGTTTTTACATAAAAAATATATGAATTGATTGTTTGAGATGGCAACAACTAATTTCCTATACAAGATATAAAAAAAAAAAAAGGTTTTCTAGAAAAAGTCATGGTATATTTTGCGGCTCTAAACAACTTTTATTTGGTCGTACTCTGGGCAAAACGGCTCTTTGGATATGAAAGGTTGCAGACCCCTGCTCTAGACAAACAAAGACTCGCCGCCCTGGCCACCAAAGAGATACAAGGGAGAAGCAGAAGCCAGGAGGATAAACCAGGTGTTCTCCACCAACCCATCCAAAGTACTCACAGTGGCAGGGTAATTCAAGATCAGATCCACCCAGGGCTGAGACTGAACAGTACTGGAGAAACATATGGGAGAAGGAGGCATCCCACAACACCAATGCTCAGTGGCTGGAAGCAATCTCCCAGAACAAGAACCAGTAACCGTTACAACGGCAGATGTCCAAGAAAGAGCAGCAGGTATGAAGAGCTGGACAGCACCAGGCCCTGACATGATCCACACCTACTGACTGAAGAAACTAACCGCACTTCATGCACGCCTCGCAGCACAAATGAACCAACTGCTGATGGATGGGACCCACCCAGAATGGTTAACCCAAGGACGGATCCTGATCATGAAGGATCCGCAGAAGGGAACAACCCCATCCAACTACCGGCCAATAACTTGCCTATGTACAACATGGAAGCTCCTGTCAGGCATCATAGCGGCTAAGATGAATAGGCACATGGCTCAATACATACACCCTTCCCAGAAGGGAATAGGCAGCAACACCAGAGGAGCCAAACACCAGCTACTAGTGGATAGAGCAGTCACCTGAGACTGTAAAACCAGGCAGACAAATCTGTGCACTGCCTGGATTGACTATAAGATATATATATATATATATATATATATATATATATATATATATATATATATATATATATATATATATATAATGTGTATATGTATGTGTGGGTGGGTGTGCATGTGTGTGTAGAGGCACTGTATATACTGAATATACCCCCGTGCATCTTTTCTTCCACTGGCACCTTCTTCTTTTTAACTATTTGACCTGATGTAACAAGTAAATTTCTCCACTGTGAGATCAATACAGTCAATCAATCAATCATTAAATGAGCCAGTTACAGAGTGTTTTGGTCCAAGAGTCTGCTGCAGAATGGGCCTTGGTAAGGCAAAACCCTTTACTCTCAGGAATAAGAATATCACACTTCACAGGGACTGTTTACATTTGATCACTGCTGCACTTTATTGAACTGAAATGTTAATTTCACTGCTATGCTGCAGCTTATTTACTTTCTGAAAGCTGTACAAAAAGCATTTTTTTTTTTGTATACACTCTGCGTATACTAAATGACGAGGTTGTCTAAGTATAAGTCTAAAAAGGAATCTACCGTAATGTATCTAAAGAGCTTGCAAATTGTAGAAATACCCTCATATAGGCAGAATGTTTATGAGATCCTAGAGGTATCATACTTTTTCCTATCTTAGCCTCCCTCTATTAGCTTTAGTATAATTTTAAATTCTTCTTTTTATATGTACAGCACCTAAAAGGTTCCATCTAGTATCAGAGTTCTAAAAGTTTATATTCCAAACAGGGGCCTACGCTTTTAATCTTTATTTGTGGTTATTAAAATTTCTAAAGTAGATTGGGTGGCAGATCTTTTCAGGCTCCTCTCCTATCAAACCAACTACCAGTGTTAGGCCTTAAGTTTTCCTTTTTGATAATGCTTAGGCTATAGTTAAAACAGGGTGATGTTTGCTAAGTCACTGGGTAAGTAAAATAGTAGGAGGAGGTAGATTGAATGGTATGATCCAGTGGGCGTAATTCATTCAGCACAGATGTTTTTTTCTAGGCTCTACCTTTCTCCTAACCAAATTGTCAGATTGTCCGGATCTCTTTGTCATCAAAATCTAATTTATAAATATTAGAGTTCGGCCTGCTTTTCAGTGTAGTCCTGTTTCTCTACTATGCTTTCTTTCATCCTCTGACATAAAAGCTAGCTTAAGCTCATCTGCTCAGAAGTGTTACCTTTTGTAAATCTGCTTCTTTCTGTATGTCTGCTTCTTTCTCTATGAACGCCAGTCAGCATTGGCGGAAGGCCACTCACACTGAGCCTGGTTATGTTTTAGGTTTCTTTCTTTTCAAAAGGAAGTTTTTTCTCTTAACTGTCACTGCATGGATCCTTGGTGTGACGAATTACAAAAAAGTAATTTACAAAATGCAAGGTCATCCCATCATCACAACCTTATCCAGCTGACTACTCAATGAAATCAGCTGTCTTTCCTTAATAGCATGTTCTTACGAATCTGACCATAAGATCTGATTTAATTGTCTTGACGTGTTGCGAATCGGTGCTATATACTGTAAATGCACTAAACGGAATTTCATATAACATCATTATCGCTACAAATATTCTGATATTGGACAGCTATAGCAGGAACACTTACACCAAATGACAATTAGAGTTGATAATACACCTAATTCATGTCATTACATTTAGTAATGTGAGAGGAAAACAGAATCCCAAAGGAAACTCATGTATGCAAAGAAAGAACAAGCAAACTTTATCCAAACTTTTAAGATTATGCTTACCTTTATTCCCATTGCTTTTCTGGTCCAAAATGCTCCTGGTTACTGTGATGAGTGCACTGCTCAGTTTAACTTTAAAACACAAACTATTTGCAAAACTTCACTGGTCACACCAGTGAAGAGATAGCAATATCTATTACAACTTATAAAAAACATTATCCCTATTATACATTAAACAAGACTATGTAGAGTGCATCCATCGTTGGAGGGCCTGCATTTAGTAGCAAATAACTTTATAAATGAAAAATAAAAAGGAAGAAAAATAAATATTGACGTTTAAGTAATTTGATTTTACTTTGACCTGGATGTCAAACTGAAGGCCAGATCGGGACAACAGGACCTTTAATACAGTATTTGATATACAGAGAGTAAACAGGGAGAAAATAGTAAATGTATCATGAATTAAATAACTGCAAATAAGACCCCCGAAAAACAATTTTATGCACCATGAAATAATACTTGTAAGATGTATTTTTTCAATATAAAAAATAAGTTAATGTAATGTTGAATGAACTATGAAAGACATGTATTAAAAGTAAAATGAAAAATATTTCATCATATTTTCCATTAACTAACTTAATGTATCATTTATCTATTGAATGCAGCCTTTAAATATTAAAATTACCAATACATCACAAAATGTAAAATAATTAAAACCTGTCATAAAATCATATACTTTTGAAATTATGATAACAGTTAAATATTATTATTGTTCAACAAACCTTCCTTTAACATACATTTCATTATTCCAATCTATTTTTTTTTATGTCTGTGCAGAACACTCGTCATGAACTTATTTAAACTCTCAAATTTCCCCATCAAACTCAGTAGGCTGGACCAGAGCTGCGTGTATAGAAACTCTGCAACAAATGTACTTCCTGGGTGATTTTTTAATTATCACTGAAAAAATAAATTCAAATAGGCAATTTACAAAGCAATTTATTTAAAACAGATTTGGTAAGCAACCCCAGCCTCTATATCCATACTTTATTCTCTAAAAGGTTAATGAGAGAATGTATTTTAATATATTTAATATATTAATGTGGGCGGGGCCAACAGCTCCCACCACACTACACAACAGCCTGCCGTTTCATAAGCTTGTCATATATAACCTGCGCTATGTCGGCCGGAGCTGCTCACTAAATGTGCTGTAAATAAATATAAATATCAAATGAAGTTACATCTTTTTTCAGTGAAAAACAAAAGCCAGGAAGGATTAGGGTTGACTTTTTCAGTGAGAGTTTCTATAAAAGCAGCTCTGGGTGAAATCATAAAACATATTTCAGGGTTAGTTTGCTATGCAACTACATAACACAAATGTAGAGTGAAATAATGAAACCTATATTTAAATGTTTATTTAAATGTCTAACCACTATATTATCAAAATTAAAAATACACATATAATTATATCACATTTAATTATTTGACATGGTACATTATAGTGTATTTATTATTATTATAAATGGCAAATTTAACATTTTATGGAACATGTAATGTTTGTGTCATTATACTTCATGTTAATTGTTTTACTTTTTATTCATTTAAAGTTTAATTTAAAGAGATATTTAATTGTTCAATTATGTATTTGTTGAATAAATGGTACATTTATTAATTTTATGACAAATTTTATCCTTCATTAAATGTTTTCTTCTTCTGTGATACATTAATTTATTTGATGTTATATTTACATTATCTATTTCATGAATAAATGTATTTAATCTGTCTTTACTCTTCATGGGGATAAACCCTAATAAATCTGCTAAAGAATATTGACGATTAAAGAAAAAATACTATATATTAGCTCTATATATTTTCGCCACAAAAATATAATTGTGACATCTCTTATTACTATTTATTTAAACAAATAACTATTATTTCTTGAACGATGAAGGAAAAATAAAAACACTTTCAGTTTTACTCACTCCAAAAGTTCTTTCTTTAATAAGTAAATCAACAAACTTTCTTTATTTGTACAAGTGCCTGGTCCACAACAAGGCTCAGTTTGTCAAGTCCAAGAAGCTCAAGCGTTTTCTGAGAGTTGACACAAATGTAGAACGCACTATAAACCTTTCTTAGGGATTCTGCAATCCTGTCTCTTTGAAGTGTTGCTATCTACACAGAAAAAGAAAAAAAGTGAGAAAAAAAAAACCTTAAACAAGAATTGAAAACTGACCAGGAAACAAAAGCGAGCACATTTCACAGCAATGCCTGAACAACCAGAGTTCAATTTCTTCACGTTTTTTTTTTGTTTTTTTTTTTTGCTTCTCTTTAGATTTCTTGGAAAGTGATACAACATAAAACCGGAGCAGTACAGTGAAAACTTCAAAGAGGCCAGCACAACAGAACAAAGCTGTTCCTAATCATTTTAATTTACAGAGAAAAAGTTGGCCCCGAACAAAACAACAAAAAAATTTAAACAAATAAAGGTGAAAAAATGCATATTATGTGCAATGCTAGTTATCTGTACAGTCACATAGAAATATGTCATAATTCTCTCATTAGTTTTTCTCCTCTTTCTTAATAAATGTTAAAATAAAATGAACAAAATAAGAACAGCTATGCTTGAAAGCATTTAACTTATAATTCCTTACTGGCAAATGTCCCCCAATTCACACTGCATCCAGCTCCCCTCCACTCTGTTGCGAACTCCAGCGCCATCGTAATAATCAATGGGAACATTTTAAATAGCCTCTGCAAAGCGTTTCAGGGAAGTGAGGAAAAGACAGTAACTTTTGATTCAATAATGTTTTTGATTGATGCTGCAGTAAGACCACAGTAAATATTTAGAAATCCAATCACTCCAGGAGAAAACAGAACAATCACAGATTACAAGTTTTATGAAATAATACACAAAAGAAGGCTAGATTTCCTTAAAAATATTGTTGTACTGGTCAATTCACAACGATACATGTGTGTATATCAGTATATTAGCAATCTGACACATTAAATCAATAATTGATCTGCATATATCAACTAAGGTAATCAAAACATAACAAACAGTAAAAGCACCATAATAAGCAACAAGTGTTGCCTCTTTGCTTGCAGTGTATTCACCCATTGCAGAATTCTAGTTCTGAAATTATCTGGATATGCAAAACCAAAAGTGAAGCAGGCTTAATTATTGAAAATTTCATAGGACAAGTTGTTTAGCTTTGACTTCTGCAGTTATCACAGGCTTTTATTGGGAAATCTTCAAACTGTAGCAAAACACAGACAGTCTATATTAGGTAGTTGGAGAAGTTTGCAGCGCAGTGCAACTAAGCTGGGTGCAATGTAAATTGGGGATCAATGTTTTTTTTTTCTTTTTTTTTCTTATTTTGGAGGAACACTACAGCAAACAAAATGTGCTGCAACTCACTGAAGAGGAAGAAAATACTTCAAAAAGTCCATATAGATACAGAAGTATAATAAAATAGTAATTTTTTTAAATTCCCCATTAATTCTGTTGAAGTCTATCAGTTCAGACTTTTGGGGCTATCCAGTTCCTCTTGACTAATATCGATGAGGCCTAACGTTTTGTGGGTGTCTCTTATTAGATGAAGGCAAACACACCAAACCAGAGTGGGCTTCAGAGAGAATCAGGTGGCTGGGTACACAACATCAACCTTGGGAATATCTAACCAAAGATAGTCACTTCCGCTTCCATCCATTTTATAATTCTTAACCTGTTTGTGGTCACTAACAGGGAGAGTAAAGCTGTCTCAGTCTTTAGGACAACATTAAAAACAATGGGTACCACTGCCAACGACGGATGGACAATGGAGTGAGGAAACAGAAGAGGACTTTGGGAAAGAAAAAGAAATTAACGTTTATTAAGGTGGGGTGTCTGGGCCTATAGGCTGGTGACCAAGTGAGAGGGCTCTGGGTTACCCTCTTCGGCAGAAAGATCCTCTCTGTTAGTGGGTGCAATAAAACCATCGCTGCTACCCCGTCCGAGCTGGTAATAGGAATGTAGCTGATGGAGGTGGTTACGGGAGCCCAAGTTGGGCATGCTCTTGTAGTAAACGTCGTCTAAGCTTGCCTCTGGACTCTTGGCATCCCCACCCTCCTTTGAGCTATCGGTGGATTCTGCGGATACGTCAGGCAGGCCAGGCAACATTGGCATGCTGTTGTAGAGGGAGTCTCTCTGGTGGCTGTGGTTGGGCAATGAACTTTCATCTTCAATATGCTCATTATTTAGTAAGGGGAAGAAGCTTTCACTGTTCTCCTGGGGGATCCTCCTTCTAGAGGATGAAGAGTTGGATGCAGAGGAGAAGGGATGATGGGAGAGGGGAAGGGGCGGTGACATGGACTGTTGAAGCTGATTGTGAAGATTGTTGACTGCCTGCAGGGTTGGCAGCGGCCTTTGTGGCAACAACGGGACATTGGACTCCTCTCGTATCAACTCCAGACCCAGGCCTTCATCGTGGTGGGTACCAAAGGTCGAGTGATCATCAAGATTCAGTGCAACGTTCATGCCTATCCCCACTCCCAAACTCATGCCATAGCCGCTGTCTTTCCCCCCGTTGCTTACATTATTGACCAGCTTGTTCATGAGGTTCCGGTTCTGCTCGTTTGAGCGCTCGTGAGAATTGTTTAGGTAAGAGGGGATATAGTTGGAGGTGAGCTCTTTCAGGAACTTCTTTTCCAGGGTGGTCTCCTTGTGGTTGTAGCCCCGATCGATGATCTGGACGCAGTCGCTCATGTACTCAGCGCTGGCAATGCTGTAACTATTCCCATGGTTACCATTCAGTGGTAGAGTATCCATGACACTTGTATCCCGGGCATTGTTCAGGATTCCCTCTGAAATGAGAAACATGGGGGTGGTGGGGTAGTGGTAAGGGAAGGGGATTGTTGGCAAATGTAAATGATAAAAACTGGTGAGTACAGCTTTAAAAGATGTATTGGGCATTTCTGCAGGACCCAAAAAAAGGAAGAGATTGAGCATTAAAGGGTTTTGCTAAACAAGTAAATAGGCCCCACAGATTTTGGGTCAAAAGGTACATTTAAGGACCTTTAATAACACAGATGCATCTCAACAAATTAGAATATCACTTAAGGCTAATATGTAAAATATCTCATAAGCTTTTCTATGCAGTTTATCATGGCTGTGGTTATCTCTTTTTCTGCCAAACATTTTTTGGTCTTTCTTAGAATTTGTGTAGTCTTTAGAATGGATGTTTGTTACAACTCCCTTAAATATTCATTTAAAATATTCTAATCTTCAAAGTGACTGAAGTCAGGCTTTTATTAACTGTTAACCAACAATGACAAATTTACCATACCACTCTTTGCAAAAATTAACTGGTTTTGTGAAATGATTAACTTTTGAATGATATTCTAATTTATGAAAATATACCTGAAGCACTTACCTTGTGTACAATTTTGTTTGAATTCTGTTTAGTTTTCATAAAAGTTTTTCTATAGCAGGAATAACGCATGGCTGTGTGATACAAAACTATAGAAACATTCACCACAGCACAAGAACGTAAAGCTTAAGCAGGCAAATAGACATTAATGAAACTAATTCATGCAATTCCCCCATCTCTGAGAGGAAACTTTTAACATCTTTTTCAGAAGAGGTATGCAGGAAAATGTAACTGTGTTGCGATCAAATCCATCTGAAGTTGGACATGGCGCCACTTAAACATCTTTTTTTTTTGACAGTTTATTTATGTCTCATCTATCTGCACCCAACTAGCTCTATCTCTTAAAAAGAAATTAATCTGTTTCATTAAATCAGAATCTCACCACCCTGACAGGAAGGAGACAGTCTGTTCTCTCTGTTGCACTAACATGTAACTTTCATATTTCATCACATTTACCACGCTGCTGACATCAGTGTGAGGAGAAATTTTGACGATAATTCAGACTACCTCAGACAAGGCCATCCAGCTTGTTAAAAGTGTCAAGCTCTCAGTCTGACCTCTTTAAAAATTGACACGAAACATTTACTTGGCCTTCTTTAAGTGTAACAACTTGATCAAAGTGAACTCAAGACTCATGTTAAGAAAAAAAACTATTCCAAATGTATCCTTTGACTGGATTACTTCACCAGTTTTGCATGGAAAGCTAAAATAGCTGCGTCGTAATTGTTACGTTTTTGTTTTATTGCTTTCATACATGGACCTGATTGTTAAAAAGCTGAATTAGATCATCATTTCACTATTCCCATGTCAGCATCAAGTCAAAAGAAAGTAAAGCCAAAGTCAATTACATTTGATAAGCAATGTTTAGTTTGACTCCCATACTTGTCTCTCTGTAGGGCTCTTTTGGGGACAGCATGAGGAAAAGGAAAGAAGAAAACACAATAAGCATAACAATGACAGGTGAAAAGAGAAAATTGCACATAATGGAACACTGATGGTCCTTCAGATAATTGTGTAGTTTAGCAAGTGTGTCACCATGCAGATTTTGTATGTTTGCAAAAAAAAAAAAAGGATTGTAATAAAAAAAAAAAAATCTCTTGACAAATATATTAAAGATGTTTGGCTATTAGATGTTGCAGAATCCTTGGGGGTAAAACACAGGCAAAGGTCCTTGAGCATCAAATGCGCCAATAAATCTTTTGATGCATTAGCATTTTCATTCCTCCAGATATTTCTTTTCCATCTGTGGCGATGTAAGTGAATTATAGTCCTCCATCACCAGCTCAAATGCAAAGCACTTGTATCACATACATAAATTATCCACTTATCAAAGCTCGCTGTAAGTTTTTATCTCAGCTTCACATGGGTTTCTCTCTACTTTTGAGGACTTTAAGACACTCATAGCTACAGCAATCTCATATTGACTGCAGAGATAAGGAGGAAAATAATAACAGCTCAGCAGAGAGACAAAAGGGACTGAAATTGCACTTTGTTAAAACTACAAAATGGTTAGAGAAAAAAAAACACAAAAACTTATTTTGAACACATCTGTGTCCTACTGTAATACATTCTATGGTCTAGTAGGTGGTAGTTGTTATTAACTCTCAAAGAAATTACTAAAAATGAAGTTTCATTAAATTTGTAAGATATATCTTAATATCAAAAGTGAATATTCAGGTAAAGAATGTATATAAAAGATAGTTTAGTCAGTAATTTTACATAAACTCATCATTGGCATAAATGGTGAGTGAAGAGGTAGATAGATTGGGCATTTCTATATTAACGTTTTTTTTTTCCCAGGCAGATAGCATACATGCGTTCATTTTTGGTTAAATTCTCCTAGGGAATATGCAGCCTAACCCCATGCTTTCTATTAAAATCATTTGCTTTCTAGTATAAATGTGTTTGTATATTTTATCATACTAATTGGTAGAGGTCAATTCGCTGACTTGACTTAAGCACAGCCCACATATTTTCAAATAACGCTGAGGTCATGCAGAAAACAAATGTTATGACATTTTATCTATTTATCCCTGCAACCAAGGAAACAGCATTGTCAAACCCGATTAAAACTAGAAGTTGTATGAATATCATGTTCTACTGCATTTTGCTCTACACTGAAACTTTCCATATGTATGCCCTTTTGCACCATTATTTGTAAACTGGTTTCCTTTTCTCTTACACTGCTTACATTCTGATCACTGCTGCAATTTATAATGGCAACGGTCATTTCACTGTTTTATGCTGCTCATTAGCTACGTAATTTCATTTAATACCATAAGTCTATCACCTTCTATATCCATAGTAAAGCCAGTATTTATCTCCCATGGCTGAGGGAGTGTCAATCAATGAAGAAGCCCTGCTTAAAATCTGAACCTACAGCTGCTTATGTAGAGTAATAAATGTTGTCAGGATAAAGAAAATATCATCTGATGAGACGAAGACGACACTGTCAAAACTAAGACATTGTACAAAGCATGTTTGTGCCAGTGTCATGCTGAGGACTTGTTTCACTACCAGTGGTGATGAATTTCTAAAGGTGAACTGAAGTAGAGTGACATCCACTAAATTCATCCACTTCACTCAAAATCAACAACTCCATTGTCAAAGCTGGCATAAACCTGGATGTTTTATACCCGCCCTAAATCACCCTAAATGTTCCCAAAGAAGGGTTTTTGAAATGCAGAAAGTATCCTAACATAACTGCCATTTTAGTCAAGATGTTTATGGTAAATGGCCTATACTTATATAGTGCCTTTCCAAGTCAGAGGACTCATAATTGCTGTACACCACATTCATTCACCCACACATTCACACACTGATAGTGGCAAGCTACAATGTAGCCAAAGCTGCTCTGCGGCTCATTGAGAGAAGGGTCCATATAAATGCGCCACAAAGCATTCCAATCACCATCAGATGGTAATGCGGATTAAGTGTCTTGCCAAAGGACACAATGACAGAAAGAGCAGAAGCTAAAGTCGGCAACCCTTCAGTTGCAGGGAAATCTCCTGCATCTGATGCTACTGTCGCCTAGCCGTTAAAAGGTCGCCTAGCCAATAATAGGTCAAATATACAACTAGAAACTTATGTCAGGCTAGAATAGGATAGTGGATGTGTAGGTTACTGAGAGTCAAATGTCTACATATCAATGTCTGCATGTGTGCTGTGTTACTCTGGCACTTTGGAGTGAAAGTCAAGTTTTTTTTTTTATGTTGGAAAGCGCCCCAGACGTTAATTAAAACTTTTGTGTTCTCCTCAGCTCCATCCACTAAGAGCCAAGGTTAGACGTATCCAGACAGGTATTTTCTATTTAGAATTTGCATCGAAAAATGATCTGTTGTTTTGAAAGACAAAAGACAACAAAGAAAGACATAAGAAGGATCTTGTTAATGTGCACATGTCAGCCTTTTGTTCTCTGAAAGAATAAAGTAGTAGCTGCTTTTCTCTCAGTAACCCACATGCACCCCTTTGAAATATGTTGTTTTCTTCTTGCATCACTTGGCTGTTTATACCAGGTGTTTTTCTCAGCTGCTTTGGTGTGTTTCTTTAGCATTGTAACAACACAACCAGTGGGCACAACATACATACTATAGCATCTTTAGTGGTGCTATGGGGAAGTCAATGAATTTCCTTTTTTTTTTTTTGAAATTTCTTATAAAAGGTGGCATTTTTTTCTTCACTTGTTGATTGAACATACAAGTTGTTGAAAACTGATACTATTCTTTAAGTCTAAATCTACTGGCTTATGAACAACTTTGAGTTTGACTTTAAAAATATAATGTTAATGGTGCCTTTATACAGTAGAAGCTATTCAAAATTTCTCCACTTTCCTTGATGGACCCTTTGCTGGTCCCCTACAATTCCTTTTTAAACATCAAGCTTTGTACTTAAATATTCTTTCTGTTATGATTTGTAGACATTAAGATCTAAAAAGAAACGTCATCTCCTGGTCAGACCCAGTAATCCAGTAAAAGGGTAGACTCAGAGTAAAAAAAAAATATGCATGCAAGGAGGGTGTCTCTCCAGTGGCTGGAAGTTGGAGGGGATTTTGCTGGGAGATGCAGGGAAGTGGGATGCCACTGTATGAATACAGGGCGTTTACCACCTCTATGTGAATTTGGTGATGATTACTCAGATGAAAAGTCAATTTTCGGTTGTCCGGCAAGTGAAATGCCATCTTTATGCGTCATAACTTAAAGTAGTATCTATGTAGAAGTGATAGGAGTTGTGGACAGAGTTAAAGATTAGGATAATGGCATTGAGCCCTTTTAGCCTAAACAAGTTGATGTCCATAACCAAAATATTGTAAAGAAAATTGGTCAACAACAATAGTCTAAGTAATTCATAGGAGATGTGCATGTCATTTCAAATCAGAAAAAAGCTTTTTGGCTGCATAAAAACCTATCGAAGTATGCCAGGGTTATCCATAGGTTTGGACAAAATTGTACATTTGAGTTTATTGGACTTTTTATATGAGTTTTTAAACTGTATGAGGCGAAAAAAATACTCAATAATTAGTGTAACACAATGATCTTTTTAAATTATTGTTTTATAGCAGTGCTACCTGGGAATAATTAGATATATCAGATTAATATTATTCATGCCCATGATGAGTGTATGTCAGTGTCTAATTGACACTACTGTATATTATGCCTTTTTTGACCAAAAGCAACCATTTGGTTTTAAGGGGGGAAAAAAAGTCTGAAACCAAACAAACACAGAGAGACAGCAGACACTGCACGTAACATTAGAGCACATTTGATAGATAGGTTTGGTGATGTATCTGGCTTTCCGTAGGATTGTTTCAAAGGAATGTTTGGTTTTTGCCAAAACTGCCATAAAAGAGCAAGACTTTTAGAACCAAATAGGATGAACCAACCAAATCCCAAGATACAACGCCAATAAAAAAAAAAAAACAAAAACAAAAAAAAAAACACACTGAATATGGAGTTTTTTAGTTTAATAGCTAAAATAACACAAATAGAGCAGTGTTTTTCAATGTAAATCCATCAAATAATCAAGGCTTTAAAGAGTATATATTTTTTGTAACTTTTCTGCTTATTTAAAATCCTAAATTTATTGTGTGTTTACATTTTCTTCCTATTTTCAATGCAGGAATAACAAAGTGCCAGCCGAAAAATTAAATATCAAAAAACACTGCTCTAGCCACAATGGTAAGTAATGAAAATAAGCAGGCACACCTTGAGTGTTGTACATGCCCAGGGGGTTGTTATAAACGGCAGACTCCCCAAGCAATGTATTATAGGGATTGTTAGTGCCATGAGGACGTAGGAGTGCATTAGGTATAAGATGGTTAGCCATAGCCCCTGGAGCAGCCAGAAAGAAACAGAGCCAGATAGAGAGAAAGAGAAAACAAACAGTGAAAGTTGAGATATAAATACATATATATTCACGGAAACATACATATCAGCTGAGTGGATGCAACTGAGCAATGACATCCATTAACATCCAAATGATCACATGATCATTAATTTCAGGAGGTGGTGGGGCAACAGAGCTGAACTGCTGTGGTTAATGGGGTTGATGACAAGTAGGTTGATTGTAAGTTTAATGCTAGCCACTAGCAATATGTTGTTTTATTTTTAGAGCTCCACATTCTGGCAGCATTCATGTATTGACAGACATAAATAAGAAATAAAAGGAAAAACAACTATATGTGAACCTGAAAAACTGATAATTAGGTGTTTAACAATATTGAAATTTACTAGCTCAATTCATGTAAATTCATCATGGTGTTTAATGAGTTATGTTAAAGTATACTGTAAATATGCTGAAACTATAAGTAAGACTGAAGTAACTTCTATAGCAGTCATAGTTTATCACATTTCCTTTTCACAAAGTTCTATTCTTCTATATTTATGAGTACTTTTCCACTGTTAGCAGACATGTTTGAGTTTATTTAAAAGGCACAGAGCATTTTAAAGGACATGTACATGTAAATATTCCAGATTACAGATATATGCAATATATGTATATACATTGCATATAATATATATGCAATATATATATTGTTTTATATATATATGTATATATTGTAATATATATATATATATATATATATATATATATATATATATATATATATATATATATATATATATATATATATATATATAACAATATGTATACTGTATATACTATGGCTAATTTAGTGTCAATGTAGTTTTTTTGTCTAAAACATACCTTCAGACAAATGAAAAAGAAAAATAAAGGAAAAAGAAAAAAAGAATCATACTAGTTTAACAATTTGTGAAATAGCAAAAATATCTTTAGAAAAATATATAATTTAGCTCAATTCTGAAGTTACATAATTATGCTCACAAATGAGAACCTGAAATTGCAAGTAATTTCACTTGACAGCAAGCCTTTTTTATGTTATGTGCTTATTACTGCCTAAAGCCCAAACAATGAACTGATTATTTATTATCAGTGTGGCACAGCAACTCATTTTAATCATCTTTAAAATTTGTTATTCAAAGTTATTTTAAGATATAACTGTACCATGAAATGATTATGATGAAGCAACTTATGATGGAGCAACTTTTACTTCCTGCAATCTGAAAGTTTGAGATACTACTTCTGTCATGTACAGTGGATCTGCCCATGAGGAAACAACTATGTTCAACTTATCTTAAACAACTTATGTTCATTTTGCCTTATTTATTCAAACCTCTTTGAATAATTTGGCCTAAAACTGTTTTAGTGCTACCACGAGTGGGTTGAAACATGACCACTGCAGTTAACTTTTCCTGTTGATTAAAACAACACAGCTTGGTACATTGTCTACGATACAGCTCTGTGTCCAGGTAAAACACGGCATACAATTTACCACTGAACTGGGAAGCTGAAGTAACGTAACCTCCTATTACTGTTGGTCATAATATTCACGTTTCCTGTTTGTCAGCACTCTTATTCTCCGCTTTTCTTAAGGCCACTATGGCCAATTTTAAAACCATAACAAAGACAAAGACACTATTTTAGTTGATATTGTGACTTCCTAGTACAAACCATAAATCAGTCTCAGTTGAATTATTAGTATGACTAAAAAAGCTAAATAGAAAAAAATAACTGTGTAGGGAAAGGTGTATCGCCATCATAGTTATTGCTGCTCTCAACAATCCTACAAAAAATAAACTTAATTTTCATTTCTATTTTCAGTTTTTAAGATGATCAGGGTCTTTAGGAATTCTAAAAGTAGAGCATATTTTCCTGATCCGTTGGGGTTTGGGTTTAATGTGGTAGAGCTTTCAAGTTGGCAAGACAAGAAAACACAATGAAGTAGGCTTACATCAAATGCGAGGTGATCTACCTTAAAGTCAGAAAACAGAGACTTGCTTGCAGCAAACTGTATTTTTTGGCAGAGAAACAATTAAAACTATCACAACCGTGAGAAAAACGTAGACCGGAGTATATCTTAAAACTACACACAAAGAAGGGTTTGTAAGGTAGGTATAAAAAACACTCAAAAGCTTACTTTTATACAACTTCTGGAAAAAGTCCCGTTGAGTTTTCTTTGTAACGTCTATAGTCTTCAAGGCTTTTAACATTGTTGCCAAGGTAACTAATAACAGTAAAAGGCATTGTATCTAACATCAAACTTTTAGTATGTCCACTACAAAGAAACCTCCGCAATTGAGGTATCAGATGGAACACTGTTATTTCTGGCTGTACCATTTTCCTTAGCTGAAGTGATGTATTGTGTCTTTTTTTTTCTCCACAGAGCAAAGATCAGCATTTGCTCATTCCCTTTGCAGCTGCTACTGAAACACCCTTTGAATGTCGAGCTATCCTCTCTTCTGTCAAGCTGGTCATTGCTTAGCTAAAGCCTCGCCTCCTTAAGCACAAGCAGAATGCCCAGCTCTTTTTCTTCTTAAGAAACACAGCTTGTCTTTAGATTACCGCAGCCTGAGTGACTCATCAGTTTCTAGTGCACATATTGCCATACCAGGGAAGCCTTTGCCGTTTGAGCCTGGTTGATTAGATGCAGGGATTTTCTTTTTATTATTTATTTTATTTTTTGGGGGGAGTGTTTGCTGTGATAGAAAAAAACATTAACTGTTTAACAATTCAAAGGCATTATGCAGAATATTAAGTGTTTACAGGCTACATCATTACCTGTTTGAAATATTTCCTTCCTGCAACTGCCAACATGATACAATGCCATTATAGTGAAAATAGCCAAATGCAGGACTTGTGAGGGTGATGCATGTGTGTGTTTCTGCAAGAGCAGGTAAACACCCTTTATCTGAGGTGCAAGTACGTTGCAATTGGATCCCCAAGCAGAATATTGTTTTCTATGCTCTGAATCTGTCACACAGCATGAGGAAGGTCTCATTTAACATTTAAAAAACAGTTATATAGAGAACCATGCAATAGAATGCATATATATTAGAGTTGTTTTCCGCCTCTTTTCTTTTTTATTATTAGATCAAATTGACCCATATTTCATTTGGATTTTATAAACACAGACTTAGGCTAAATGGATCTTTCTCATTGGAAGGAAGAGTGAAAGTGTTTTTTTTTTTTTTTACAACAGCTCTTTGCAAAGAAAAATCTGAAAATTGAGGCTCGCACTTATATTCAGTACCTATTTGTAGGCCGTACTCAAAATAACTACCTTTCTCAATTGGAATACAGTTTGCGCTTTAGCATGGCCATTCTAAAAGAAAAAAAAATTCCTTTTGCTTTCCCTAAAAAGTTTTTCTATTCTCCTGCTATCCTCCACTTACTCCGGCTATTTTTCATTGCTACTGACCATGTTTCCTCATGGTGATTATGTACCATGTCGTTTTCTGATTCACATGCATTTAGCATGCAGCCTATATACCTAAGTTTTGGTCTCATCTGAGTCTTTAGTTATGTATTTCTACTTGGTCTCAATGTACGACCTGTCCCTTTAGGTTGACAGTCTTGTTAGTTTTGTAGTTTTTGTCCATTTTCAGATTACTTCAAAAAGTACTGTTTTTATATTAGCCAATGTCAAATTAAGTTAATGGGTTTTGTTATTGATTCAGGTTTTTTTTTTTTTTTTTTTTTTTAAAGAGGGTTATTAGTATTGTCACTGTTATATATAATTGAACTTCATTGATCTTACACGTGGAGCAGTGGGCTGCCATTGTGCGCCACCCGGGGAGAAGCCCACTGCTCCCTAAGGGGATGGGTTAAATGCAGAGGTAAATTTCTCCAATGTGAGATCAATAAAGTTTAGTTATTATTATTATCATTATTATTATAAAGGTTTTCTCCTTGATTTTGTTTTTTCTTATGTTACTATCATTATTTTCTATTCATTCATTTAAGGGTAATTTTTAGAGCTTTAGGATTTCAAGCACTTTGAGATTTAAAGTTTAAAAGGAGAGTGTGTTTCATTATATTATGCTTATATTATCATGTTTAAGTTGTAGGGCAGACGGATATTTTGGGTGCTGTTTATATTCCCTTATGTTCATAGGTCAGTGTTCTTCTCATTATTCTCGCATGGTTTCAGCCATTTACATAGCAGCAAAAAATGCAATTCAATATTCCTTTATTATATGAACAAGCTTAAGTCTGAAAATTGTTTTGCATCTTGACACTATTGTGTACAGACTTATAAAGAGACACCAAACGCAGACTACCTCATTGTCTTCTTATCACTTTCATGAGATACCGATCTCGTAATTATGAGATAAGCTGTCGGATTTTTTCTTTTTCTTTGGTGAATGCCATACGCTTCCGTACTTTCCAGCTGATGCTGGAAAGAATGTGCTTCTGTTTTGAGTCTTTCCATAAGTGGAATAAGCATCAAATGTATTTAGCAAAGTATAAACATGGCGACTGTATTTACTAATAATGTGACTTAGGAGTTTGGCGCCCTGGCTTTATTTAAGGGTTGTACGGTAAAATGTCTGTAACCTTTCTTTCTGTGGCAGAGTTGTTTCTTTTTTTATTCTCTCAATAAATTCCAGCCAAATGCAATCATGCTTTGTGCTTGCAATAGAAAAAATATGAAATCCAATCCAAAGGGTATGCTATTGTAATCCACTGGGACTGTTTATGTATTTTTTTTTTCATTTTTTTATTTTATTTTAACAATAAATAAAAGGATATCTATTTGAATATAACTATTCCACAATGTCAAAATTATCAATATATTTTAATTGAATTTATCATTAATAAGACCTGATATTTTTGCACAGAAAACTGAAAGTTGTTTTCATTAGAAGAAGAGTAGAGTATTTTGTTGTTCCTATCAATGCTTGCCCTAATTACAGTGCATTTCACAAACAACCAGCCTCCTTTTTTGAATTCCCACAATGACCAATCCTCGTCTTAACACGCCTCTATTGAAATTAAACAGATTCAGAGGGAAATTGGACTAATTGCAGAGTTATAATTGTGAATACAGAGATAATTTGAACATGTGACGGCTTCAAGATGATTGCATGACTCTGCTCATAAGAAGAGCACGGCAAGGAGTGTCAGCTGTGAGCTCATTCTCTCCTGATTTGAGCTGAGATGGATAAGGGAGGGGGAGACATTTGCAAGAGCGTCAAGACTGCAAAGGCCAAATCAGCAAGAAATATTTGCTCCTCAACACATAATTCCTTAATAAGCACACAGGAAAAGCCATGCATGAGTGCAATTCTATTTGCATCTGCTACTGATGGTGCTTGTGATGGCAGAACACACTACCCGACATGCTCTACAGCTGCTTTGAGGGTTTTCTCCATCACTCTTAGCCTAGTAAGCAGCCATAAATAATTTCTGCCTTTGCTTTTTGTCTTTATGGAAGATCTGTGTAGACTTTATTTTTTCCTTCATACCCCCAACTCCTGACCTTCAACCCCAGCATCCAATCTCTCTCCTCAGCCTCTGTACAATTGATAACAGTCACGTCTGCTGCTGATGCTGAGCTGAGCGCCTAATTACAGAGATCATGACACTTCCTCACTGTGTCGAACATTAATCCATCATTGTAACTATGCATTAGCGTCTTTGCGAGCAGGCGCCCAGAGTGAATTTAGAGAGAGAGCAGTGTGGAACCGGAGCTCTTCAATCAAGAGATGTGATGACTGCCGAGAGTGTTAGGGAGGGATGCCAGAGAGAGTGACGTTTGCAGCTTGATGTCAGATGTAGTCTGGTGTCTGTTTTTCCTCTCTGAGCTGAGAAGCCCAGAAGTTAACTCTGACTCTCACTTTAAAACATTGCTCTTGAATACTTTTCATCAACTTTTATTTTTCTTTTACAGCTAATAAAACTGAAGAAATTGATTTTCCAATGATCACAAAATCTGTCTCAAGTGTTTCGAAGCCTATAATCTCTGTTCAAAGGTCACCTTCAGGATGAAGAGGCCACATTTTCATACAGGACTGCAGGGCTTATTACAGGGAAAGCCTTCAAATAAATTTGGAATTAGAATAAAATAACTCTAAAATACTTTAGCAACATTTTAGATTTTCAGTAAAGGGAAAAAAAATATTAAAGACATAAAAGATTAAGTATATCTGATGTACATACTTTTTTCATTTAGATGTGTTCTAATGGGGTGACACCGAGTCAAACACTAAGCCAACACACCTGATCCTAAATCAGGGAGTATCTTGGGTTCAGTTCATTTGCTTTATGCCTCCCTTATTCTCTGTTTTTTTCCTGTCTGGTCATTTTGAGCAAAGACTACAGCAACATATTTTAATAAAAATAAGTGTCCAAACAACTTCTAGACTAAAAAGATGTGTCCAAACTATTATTAATCCATTCCTGTTTTAAAGCCTTTTTAGCGACATTATCTAAATTTTGACTGAAAAATATCTTTAAAATAGCCTTTTTTTTTAACCTTTTATGGGTAAAACATTGTTTAATAAGCAGACTGACACCTCAGTAGTTCAGCTGCGAGGGATCTATAGGCCTGTAGCCTATTTTCCTTAATTTACTTTGGGTTGGAAGTTCCTACGCTGTGTGGCAGATGTGACGTCATGTACGTCCATGTTAAAAGGTTCAGACCCCTCAAACAATCAAAGCGTTATATTCCAGATGGATTTTATGGATACTCAGAAGCTACTGCCATCCAGCTGAACTCAGAAACCAATGGTAAGTGCACCTAAGTTGAAAAAATGTAAATAAAAAAAAAGAAAAAAACCTTGTCAAGTGCGAGCACGAGCTACCAGTGCGGGCAGAAGAGAGCTGCAGTTCTGTGTTTTGGCCAAAGGTGGCACTATCATTAGAAAACTCCATACTGCCTCTATAAGTATAACAGCACATAGAAAGTGTTGCTTGCAGCTTTTTAAAAGGGAAAAGAAAACAGAAGATCCCACTTAGACTAAAAAGATATGGATTAGGTAGACCTACAGGAGTGTGCCCAACCCAAGTTACCAAAGAAATACCTAAAACTGTCCATATCCAAAGTTACAACAATGATTTAAAAGGTTCCTAAACAGGATTTTTAAGTGTTTACATTTACCTTGCCTCCATACACAGGGAATTACACGGTGAAAGGATGGACCCATTGAATTAAAAGAAGTTAAGAGAAAGGTTTAGGCATCACCAAGTCTACATAACATCCAATTGGGTTATTTTTTCTCATATCCATAAATGTAAACTTTAACTAAACTACTTGGCCAAACAGTGTGCTTTGGGCTTACGAAACTATCAATTACATTTCTGCAAATAAACACTTGAGATAGAACTGGTATGAAAAAAAATTATGAATATCTGGAAGATTACCTGGAACCCGGTGCTTAGTACAGTAGATTATCTTTGATGCTATAAGCTTATTTCTATTTTAAAGGTCAAGTCAACATTGATAGAATACATGGTGTCATTAAAAATAGATATAAGTAAAGATTTTAATAAAAAAGAAAACAGTTATCACTTCCTAGAAAAATGAAAAGGTACCATTACTATTATATTTTCTTATGAAAACAATGACCAAAAATATACAACCACATGATAAACTGTTTAGAGACAAAAATCAAACTTCTACCATGGTTGTCTTGGTCCCAAAAGCTAAATGTTATAACAAATCTGTAGGGTGAGCTGAAAGGGAAGAGGGAAGAGAAAATCCTGAAATCAGGATTTTCTTTATAGATTTAGCAAATGGGAATGGTCAAGGATTCATATCTATGTATGCCTCAACATGCAAAATGAGTAATAACAATAAGGAGTTAGCCTAAAGTATTAATAGGAGGTGAGCCATTTAGTCAGACAAACTTATTTCTATTTACAAGATTTATCTTTTTACAAAATCAGATTATCTCCATGGAATAAATGTGCTCAATATAAAAACCTAAATATGGAGTCATCTAGAGTTTCCTGCGTGAATCTACCCGGGTGCAATAAAGTCGCACATTTGACACATCTTAACAGCGAATGCCAATACACATAGGCCTGATTGGTTTTAGCTGATACGAAAAGCTTTAGCTCATATTTTGGTAATGCTGTCTAAAGAATACTCTTAAACACTTGGTTTGCTAAAGCCAATAAAGAGGGAACTTTTATAGAAAGACCTGAAGATAAGGGGATAAAAAAAAAAGAGAAAGAAATCATGCGGTCTAATGAATCTGGAGGTACTCGGCCTTCCCCTGTGTGACATCCACACCAGCATGAGGAGAGGCTCTGACGAAATGATGAACCCATAATGTCGTCTGCTTGCACAAGCATTATGATCTGGGGTTACTTCCTCTCATCTGTTTGACGTCCAGCAACAAGTATGTCCCAAATGGAAAAGATGCAGTCAGACAACTACAGGAATATACTGAATGAGTAAGTCCTATTTTCCATCATTATGGATCTAACTGATGACATTGTCATTATCCAAGTAGACAATGCCTCGCTTCATCAGATCACATTCTGAAAGAACGGTTCAAGGAGCAGCAGGCATGATTTTCCACACATGGATTGGCTGCAATAGAGTTCAGACGTTAACCCCAGTGTGGAGCTACTGTAGTCCAAATCATATTTTATTAAAAACGAAGATGAAGGAACTGAATTGATGCAACCTTGTGACATTAACAGAATGCCATACCTAGATATTTCTTTGAATTTACATTTTATAGTTATCAAATAAAAAAAATGGATAGTATATTATATTAAGTATATTAATTGTATATTAATTGTAATAGCTTAAATTTATTGATTTTTTTCTGGGTTTGTATGCTTTTAGATTACAAGACAGAAAAAAGTCACTTATTTGATACTAAAACACAAGGTTGTCTGCCTAATATTATTCTGTTATAAACTATATGTGTTTACATTAAAGTTATTTATCAAAGTTTTATATTCTAAAATGATTTAATGCCTTATGCATCCTGTTTCCCCACTTCAACAATTTAACATTTCACCCTACAAAGAAATCATCTAAAAAAAATGTAAAAAAATTACTTAAATTAAGTGTATTTACCCTTCATTTGAGTAGGTAAAATTAGATTTTTTCCAGTGGAATGAGGAATTTTACTCTTAAAATAAGTTAATTAGATAATATGCTCTTGAAATAAGAAAATGCAATTGTTTTTTCTTATTTTAAATTTAAATTGTCTTGTTCCATTGGCGTTGTGTGTTGCACTTTTAAGAAAAAATGCAGTTATTGTAAGAAAAAGTTACTTATTTAGATTTCAATTTTTGAAGTGCAAATATAAATGTGAGTATGTTGAAAAGAACATGTATGTTTTTAAGAAAAATTGAAAATTTCTGATGCAATTAAGGCAGACTGCGGCGAAATGACAGTTGCCTTGGTGTTAAATGAGTAAAGTTAAGTCAAGTCAAGTAAGTTTTTCCTCCCATATCCAATTATAAAATGCTTTGAACCTTGTAAAGACCTTGCATCATGTTAAGAGGAAAGCATTTGTATTGTCAAACAAAAAAAGAAATCATAGCTTGGATATTTTTAGCAGAAAATAAAGGGAGAAGGAATCATTAATGACAGGAATTCCTGCAGGACCAAATACCTCTGTTGAGTGATGCTGAGCTGTTGATGTCCCCGGTCATAAAAGAGGACTCAGACTGTTTTCTCACTGTGTCGTTCCACATTCGACGGATACGGCTCTGCAGAAACAAACAACATGCCAGAACACATCAGGTTATTCGTTGTAAAAGCTGTCAGTGCTGAAAAAATCAGGAAGTGCTCATAAAAGCCCAGATAGTAAGAACCCAAAACATTTTGGAAATGTTTTGGGTTTCAACCAATTGCTGCAACTTTATAACAACCTTAGTACAGTAGCATGCAAAATATATTCATTCATTTTCATTTCTGAAATGCAAAAGCAAAAACTTTAAAGTGTTGCATGAGTTTATTTAACAGCTCAACACATTAAACATTGTGCTGTGCACTTATGCTTATACTTGACCCCATCTTGGGCAATAATGGGTGAATTCAGTTTTGACCAATACTGGATCAAAGAGACTTGTCAGTGGATTTCAGATCTTTACAGAATATCAAAGCTTGCTGACAGTTAAACAAAGTCCTATATGAATCTCTGATCATCCACTGATTTATTTGCCAATTCTCGATCCCCGTTTTTAATATAACAAACCTTCCTGTTTTATCTGTTTGTCTCTTTCACTTGTTGACCTTTCAACCCCCGCCGACACCAGCATCAAGCCTAAGCTTAAAGGTCTCCCAAGGGATATTTTTGTATATGAGAGTTTAAGAGTATTAGCACCATAAATCTTCCTTATCAATACAGGTCAACTGGAATCTTTTAATTAAGTAAAGCTTCCTCATTTTGATGACTTAACTAGATTGGCTCTCCTTCTACTAACTGGTATTTTTATGCATTATTGATGCACTTTCTTATAAGTTTTCCTACCAGATTAAAATGTGTGTTTGCAGCAATACTGACAGAACTTTTAATTTTATTGAAGCCTTCTAACCAACCATTTTCAGAATTATAAAGCTAGTATACTGCTGTAAAGAAGCCAAAAGCTTAAAACTAGAACTTCGATATGGACTAAAAGTTCTATTCTAAAATAGTTGGTTGTTTAGACTCTAACAAAACTTGGCAAAACCAACCCAATTATGATGCAAGTCTGCCAAATACTAACAGCATCAGCTAAAAATAAATAAATAATAAAGAGAGAGAGAGAGTTTTTTTTGTGGTTAAATGAAGTACTAAGACTTGTGTTTGGAAGCTCAGTGAGAAGCAACTCTTTAAATTTAATCAGAAATAAAATCAGCAGCTTAAATCTTATTCCATGAGGAAATATATATATATATATATATATATATATACAAAATCATTATATATCCCAAATTTGGTTTATCTTGATTATTATTGTTTTCATGGTTGCACAAGATCATAATAAGCATTTGGTATGATTTTGGCTGAATATTTAACCACCATGTTAACTATAGCCCTCAGATTTCAAACTTGGTAGGAAGTGATACTAAAGACTAAATATTGCCTACTTTATATATTACAAAATAAGTTTGAGATCATTATGTGCCAATGCCACCAGCAACAAAAGAAGCTCTCAGCATGACGTTCCCACCCACATGTTTGACAATAATACAGTTTTATACAAAGATTTCTTCCAAAAAGCATTTGTCTCAATCATGAAGAACAATGTAAAATACAGTTAAGATTTGCAGTCTTTTGTCTAAGCTTCTACCATTTAAACAAAACTAAAAACCTCTGAAGAGAATAAATATATTAGAATTATCCAAAACATCCCGGTAGTCATCTACCCACATAGCTTTAACAAACAGTTAAACTTTAACAGTGTGGCAGTGCAGAGTGCAGAGAGTGGTTAACATCTCCATGGACAGAAAGAATGTCAGCACATAAAGAAGTTGTGCTCCAAAATCAACACCTTCCAGCTCAATGGAAACTTCTGCTTTCCAAAAGTCCAATTTTAGACTTATGCTTATGGAAAGAGGAAGCAAGTGTTTATCATTTTTTTTGCACTGACAGGAAGAATGTCTGAGAGTCTGAGGTAGAACAGGGCTTTAGGGCCAAATACCTCCATGCAAACTGTCAAACATAGTGGTGGTAGATTCATGCGGAAGGGCTGCTACATAGTGACTGGTACCAGTGCCTGTTACTGGTGGAACATAGAGGATTTTTACCGCCGGAAAACTTTTATGGTTTGACAAAGCACTTAGCCACAATGAAAGGAAAAATGTTTGAAAGAGTTTGGCTTCATAGAAAAAACACTGTACCAAATATCTAGAGCTATGTTTTATTAAAAGTTGTTAAAGGCAGTTCTTACAGTGAACTGTCCCAAGAACTGTAAAATATCTTAACATCTGCACTACCAACATAAGAAGTTTTATAAGAGGTAATGCATTGCATTATCTGCAGGAAAGGTTTTTAATTCAAGTTGAGGAAAACTGCTCTTGCTGTTAGCCTGATTTCACAGCAAATGTTTTACTTCCTAACATTATTCCTTCAAATTTCACCATGAAGACACCAACTTTCTGCCTGACTTTTTTTCATGTGCACCCTTAAGATATCATGGGTTTATGCAACTGCCACCTTCAAGAATATCAAATCACATTAAAGCTACAATGTTCACTTTTAATTTCTATGCCACATAAAACAATGTATTTTTTTACTTTAAAAAGGTAAATAATTACATTTTATGTAAGCTTGAGATGTCAATTTTAACGGGAAAATATTCATATAGTAGGTCTTATTAACATTCTGTTAACACTGCTTATGAGGCACAGATTGGCTGGAAATGACAGTGCTGCTTCACAAGGACAAAAAGGTAAAGAACTCATAGCCTATGGGTCAAAATGCACTTAACTGATTACAGCTTCATTTGGATGCTTTAGAGTTTGAGCTAAGCAGCCCAATCTCTCAGAGAGTTCCCATGTATGCAGCAGCTAAGGTTGTGGTTTGGAGCATTCTTGTTGAAGCAGTGTGCATAATTAAATGCTTTGATCTATATGCAGAATCCAGCTTGTATGGCGAGATGTGACTGCATGCTTAACTCTAAGGACTATTTATGAGGCAGCAGTGAGAAGAAATCACACTCTTTGGGAAGATGTTCAGTGAGCATGTTTTCCTGGAAATGTATGCAGTCGTTCATGTTAATGTGGGAGGAATCCATTAGCAATTGTACTTTAACACGGAGACATCACATTTACATCAAGAAACATGTCTTAGTAAAATTTTTTTAAAGATATTTTACTAATTATTCACTTAGCTGTAGGCAAAATTTTAGTTACAGTCTTAGTGTCAATGCTCATTCTAGAATTTTGCCTTAAAAAAAAATAACAGTCAGATTGGCTTGTTTTACTCATAGGTTTTGGCTTACTAAACACTTCTCCGCCTTAACGATCAGGCAAAATTTCAATTGCTTTAAAACCTGTCTTGCATGTTTACAGAAAGAGTAATTGTATGATTCCTCTAAACATCTGTAATCAGGTGCTTTTCCCATTAATATGTAAAACTTACTTGACTTCCCGTCAGTAAAACTATTATGCTATTAGAGGGCTTGCTGATTGCTTAAACTCCGGGCATTCACAAATATCTATAAGCTTCTATTTGTTCAAAGATGCTAGAAAAATAACCATCACAGAGCATCAAATTAGACTTGAATTATTTAAAAAGGTTATTTAACCTGTGAGCCAGAAGAATACCTCCCTGGAGCACGAGAGGCGCTGCCCTTAACAGAGCCAATGGAACTTTCCACACTTTTGCCGCTGCAGCAATGAGTTCGCAAGCACTTCCCATACTCTTTACGCACCTGCAGAAAAGTATTGTAAAAGGCAGAGCATGTTTGCAAAAAACATAATTCAAATTTACGTCTATATTGTTTTGAAGGTATAGTGGAGTATTTTCATGAATTTCTGAAAAGACCCGCCCTCTCCACTTAAAAAAAAAAATGCATATCCATTTCTTCTCGTGCACGCTCTGTTTACAGGCTGCTGTCTGCATCGCTTAAACAAGCTTACTTCAAGAAAGAAGATTTGCAATTTTTCCTCTATGTCAGACTCCCCAGCGGTGAGTGAAAATGGGGACGAGCAAGTAGGACGGCCTTACGTAAACATATCACCAGAATGATTGACAATTAGGAGGATCACTTATGTAGATGATCCACCCGGAAAAAGAACATCCTCCACTATACCTTTAAGTATCGTTAACTTATACACTTATTTATCAAGCAAATGTGTAGATAATACTATATATCTACCCCAGGCTAGAAGTTAGTTTTCTCTGACATTTTAAAGCATTTGAGATATGTGTGTATGGTGTCCAGAAAACATTTCATTTTGATAATTTGACATAATAGAACTTGAAGAACAATCCATTACCTTCTTCTGCAGTACACAGTGGAAGATGAAAATGAACATCCCCTGCAGGGAGTTGAAGATGGTGAAGAGGTAAGCCATGACCACTGTGCTCTCATTGACGTACATTAGGCCAAAAGCCCAGGTTAGCCCAAGGAGACACAACAAGGCAATAGCACCAATCACCCATGATCTAGAATTAAAACAAAACATTACATTACAAACCAATTAACATTTAAATCATGTAAAGCAACTTAAGCTGCATCTGGGACTTTGAGGATGATAAGAGGTATGAAAATCCCAAATATCTAAAACAATAACTGTAGATTCACAAAACAAATGAATAGGAGAGAAGTGTCTTAGGACGAGACCAGTGTAGTCAACTGCTTAAAGAAGTATGCATCTAAAATAATTGCTTACATGAATAAGAGTACAAAATACATTTTTTCAGTGCATGATTATGGAAGGGTAAGTTTCAGCTTGGAAGCTTATTGCCTAAGGCTCGTTTATAAGTGTCTCCATTCTATCTCAAGCTAAAGCCTTAACTGAGATAAAAGTCCTTGGGAACATGCTTGATAATAGTAAGCTCTCTTTCTTTCTGGCACTTTTCAGAAAAGTACCTATGTTTCTGTTTCCACCTGCTCCTTTTTGTCATTTTGGTGACACAGTCAACTTGGCCTAACTGACTGCAGTAAGTTGGGCCAAGTTAAAAATTATTTCTGACTCATCTCAATCTGGCATTTAGAAGACTTATTTAATCCTATTTTTAGTATATCCCTGTAATTGAATGACTACAGTGCAAATGACACCACAAGTACCAAAATTGCTATGAACATTGTTTTGAATCTCAGACGATTGGCTCTCAGACGATTACCAAAGATACACGTTAGCAAGAATTTAACTTGGTCAAATACTAGTTAAAAAAAATATCAATTTTATATCTGGAAACTATAAGTTTCAGTCTATTGAAAATATGCTGAATAGTTGGTGTCTGCTTTTTTAGGTTGATCGATATGAAAATCAAATGGCTTTAGCCCCATTCTTTGTGGCGGTGTCCTTATAATGCAAAACATTTGTATTTATTTCACATTGAGGAACAAGTATATTTTTGATGCAAAAGAATTAATAAAAAAATGGAGCAATGTAATAGTGAAGAATAGACAAGTAAACATAACATGGTTAAATTCTTCAGTTGTTCCTTTTCCCTTTCAAGCTGGTGTTGAGACTTTTAATACAGGTGCTGGTCATAAAATTAGAATATCATGAAAAAGTAGATTGATTTCAGTAATTCCATTTAAAAAGTGAAACTTGTATATTATATTCATACATTACATACAAACTCATATATTTCAGATGTTTATTTTGTTTAATTTTGATGATTACAAATGACAACAAATGAAAATCTCAAATTCATCATATCAGAAAATTAGAATATTACTGAAGACCAATAAAAACAAAGGATTTATAGAAATGTTGGCCAACTGAAAAGTATGAACATGAAAAGTATGAGCATGTACAGCACTCAGTATTTAGTTGGGCCTCCTTTGGCCTGTATTACTGCAGCAATGCGGCGTGGCATGGAGTCGATCAGTCTGTGGCACTGCTCAGGTGTTATGATAGCCCAGGTTGCTCTAATAGTGGCTTTTAGCTCTTCTGAATTGTTGGGTCTGGTGTATTGCATCTTCTTCTTCACAATACCCCATAGATTTTCTATGGGGTTAAGGTCAGGAGAGTTTGCTGGCCAATTAAGAACAGGGATACCATGGTCCTTCAACCAGGTACTGGTAGCTTTGGCACTGTGTGCAGGTGCCAAGTCCTGTTGGAAAATGAAATCTGCATCTCCAAAAAGTTGGTCAGCTGCAGGAAGCATGAAGTGCTCTAAAACTTCCTGGTATGTGGCTGCGTTGACCCTGGACCTCAGAAAACACAATGGACCAACACCAGCAGATGACATGGCACCCCAAACCATCACTGACTGTGGAAACTTTACACTGGACTTCAAGCAACGTGGATGAAGTGCCTCTCTTCTTTTCCTCCAGACTCTGGGACCTTGATTTCCAAAGGAAATGCAAAATTTACTTTCATCAGAGAACATGACTTTGGACCACTCACCAGCAGTCCAGTCCTGTTTCTCTTTAGCCCAGGCAAGACGCTTCTGACGCTGTCTGTGGTTCAAGAGTGGCTTGACACAAGGAATGCGACAGCAGAAACCCATGTCTTTCATACGTCTGTGTGTGGTGGTTCTTGAAGCACTCACTCCAGCTGCAGTCCACTCTTTGTGAATCTCCCCCACATTTTTGAAGGGGTTTTGTTTCACAATCCTCTCCAGGGTGCGGTTATCTCTCTTGCTTGTACACTTTTTTCGACCACATCTTTTCCTTCCCTTCACCTCTCTATTAATGTGCTTGGACACTGAGCTCTGTGAACAGCCAGCCTCTTTAGCGATGACCTTTTGTGTCTTGCCCTCCTTGTGCAAGGTGTCGATGGTCGTCTTTTGGACAATTGTCAAGTCAGCAGTCTTCCCCATGATTGTGTAGCCTATAGAACTAGACTGAAAGACCATTTAAAGGCTTTTGCAGGTGGTTTGAGTTAATTAGCTGATTAGAGTGTGGCACCAGGGGCCATCAATTTTGAACCTTTTCACAATATTCTAATTTTCTGATATGATGAATTTGAGATTTTCATTTGTTGTCATTTGTAATCATCAAAATTAAACAAAATAAACATCTGAAATATATGAGTTTGTATGTAATGTATGAATATAATATACAAGTTTCACTTTTTAAATGGAATTACTGAAATCAATCTACTTTTTCATGATATTCTAATTTTATGACCAGCACCTGTAGATGTTAGAAAAGCATTAAAGACACCATTGGTTGATTGTTTATAACGCTATGTGTGATCTTGTTTTTATTTATCTTGATTTTGGAATATTAGAATGATTAATTAAAACTGAATGTTTATTTCCTTAGAAGGTCCTTACATTGTTTGGCTTCATCCCAGTCATGGATGGAACCATTATCAGAGCTATTGTTGTAGTTACCAATATGTTTTCTTTTTTCTTGATCATAAGGTAAAGGTACTCATAATATTATATCAAGATACAATATAAAAAAAAAAATGTTTGGATAAGGAGATATTTGGACTTTAAGTTTTGGGCCGATCACTGTTTTTAGTCTCTCTGTTCTGTCTATTTAACCCCAAATATTTATACAAGTTGATGTATTCCAATATTTCTGGTTGTGTTGGATGGATTTCTCCCTTTAAACACACCAGTTTCTACTGTTTCACATGGGGAGAGATTTCAGAAAATTAAATAACATTGTGCAACCAGCTGTCATATTACCAAGAACTTTGGTTCAAGTTTTATTGGTTTTTTCCAGTATTTTACTATTCTTAGTTTATTCTTTTAGTCCTTGCCCATTTCTGTAACTTTTACAGTTTACTAGATGATTTAATGTCATTGTTTGGAAATGGTATGTATTTTCTATTCCTATTTTAAGTATTATTAATTGTTTTTATATATCCTTTCCTACAGTATAGTGATCTTTTGTTATTTGTTGGGAACTAGCTACATGTTTATCTTTATGCTGTTAGGATTTCCTCCCAGTCCTCTTCAGCTTAGTAATCTACTTTGATCCTCCTCAGCTGGGCCCATTCGCTCCTGATTGCCTCACCTGGCTGCCTTGCCTTTCTCTCTCCCTCCTTGTGTCTAGGCAGATGGTTTTGTGTTTCTGTATAAAAATCAAATTTTTTTTGCCACTAATCTCCATGCCTGGTTTTCTTTTTCTTTCAGCCAACAACTTCCAAATATTTAATGTTTTCACCAAAACAAACCTATTAAGCCTTACTTAGTTCTGTATCTTCAGTCCTCCCCTTGAACTATACCATGAAAGGTTTTCACCAATTAGACTTTCGTGACAAACACATTTTACTTCACTGTGTCATGAATCTATGTTCTGTACATATAACTTTTTAATTAATTACATTATATAAAAAAAAAATAAAAACAAACTGTGTGCCAAACTTGATTCTATACAGTTTGCAAATGTAAAGTTTCATCATATAAACACTACTTTGAATAGATGTTCAGGTAAACATGGCAAAAATGAAATGGGATTAAAAAAAATTTCTTAAACCAGCCTCAGTTATTTGTCTTCCTGTGTATCTAATAAGGTTTTGATAATTACTGTGGTTAAAGATATATTATTTCAGGCAAGCTTTGTTCCATTTTGCAGTTCAAACTTTCCTCCATTTCAACTTGGAATTTGAACCATCATTTTAATACCCATTTAAAATAGAGCCCTAATTTTCTTATAGAAAATAGCCATCACATGATGGATGTGTGTGCCATTTCTTCTTTGGAGCACTAATACGTCCATGCACTGCACTGTAATGATACAGGAACCGGTTAAACATTATCTTGTGTGTCTAATCTGAAGGCATGGTGTATCCAAGGCTGCAGCATTGTGGGCTCACTAATGTGGTCTTTAGCATGAGCGAGTGCCCCTCTATTAATCACATTAATGATTGAGAGTGCGAGCCAGATGGATTTTTGGTTTAGATTTTGTTTCATAAGGAGGTGTAAATGAGAAAGATGGTATTACGGGGAAAAAGGGTCCCTTCAGGTTTGTCTTACTTGATTTCAGGTGCATAATCCTGATAGCTGAGCAACGTAAAACACAGAAACATAAAAAAACAGAAATCAATCAAAACAAAGAGAATGAGATGCTGTAATACGTGAGGCTGTAAAAGCAATGTACAAATTAGGACACAGAGGAGGAACACAGGGACAGCAAAGATGGCGTGTTTGTTGGCAACACAAAGGATACAATGCAAAGATTATGATCAAGGAGAATGGAAAGACGATTTCTAAAATTGACAGATGGCAACTGAATGATCTCAGTTCATAGAAGAAAAGGAACTTGCTGCCCTCATAAAAACTGGCAGAATTTTGCATTTAGCACCATTATAACTAGGCCAGGTGTACAGCAAAAAAAAAAAAAAAGATAGAAAAAAATGATTTATGAATTCAGCAGCTCGAACATTAAACATAATTTTCCCAGGGCTGCCTTAATGACCTGGTGGGGGAGGTACTTCATCAAGACGACTGCCTTCAGATTGCACTGAAAAACACATGCTGGGGCCCCGAAAGGACCCAAAATATCTTCTTTTCGCTCGTGGCGGCTTTGTTTTTAAGGGCAGTGGACAACCACTAAAAGAGGTCACTAAGAATGGATGAAAGAGAATAGGAAATGAAGAATCTGTAAGACCCTAATTAGGATATGAAATGTCTTTCTTTAAAAAGTGTTTGGCAGAAAATCTTGTGGAACTGAGTACAAAAGTATCATAAACGTTTTGTCTTTTATCCTAACAGGATTAACAGCTTCACTAAATCTAAAAAAATGTATGTTATATTCTAGACATGCTTGGTATATGGTCTTTTTGTGTGTGTGTGTTTGGTGATTGTTGCTGTTGCTTAAAAATCCAAAAGGAGATTCCCCAACAGCATTTTTTAATTTAGAAAAAATTAATTTGTATATTTTTAAACTAAAACCATTCTCTGTTCTTTGAATGTATTGCTGAATATACAATCCAAAACATTGTATTTTATGGTTTACAACCATAAAGTAGTTATGACAGTTTTTGTTCCAAACTCTTTACAAAGAAGTCTATGGCTATGTTCACACTGCAGGCCTCAAAGCTCAATTCCTACTTTTTTGTGAAATCCAATTTTTTATTTTATTTTTTATTATTTTTTTTTTGCCGTTGTTGTTTACCTTTCCACATATATGCGACTTGTATGTGATCACCTGTGCGAACTACATTCATACAATGCAAGTGTTTCACATTCGCAATAGAGGATGCAATGACGTCACAAGCAAGTTTTCACTGTGTTTACAGAAGTAAACATGGATGGTAGAGCTGGAGCCAATCTAGCCATTTTTCCCAACTTTAAAAACTCAATCTTTTCAAGATTGTAAAAAAAAAAAAAAAAAGGCTGCTCTCCGCATTATCGTCCACCGTGGTTGTTGGTTTTCTTCCCGCTTCTGCATAGCAAGACGCAGAAGTGGGACCTTTGTTGAGTATTAATAATGTTCATGTCGGATGACGGCGACCTGGCTGTTCAGACACAGGTCGCATTAAAAAAGAGCAGATTCATCTCTGATTCAGGACCTCATAGCCAAGTGGCCTGGGTCTGATTGGAAAAAATCGGATCTGTTATGAAAATATCAGATACAGGTTGCATATGGGCAAACAAAATCTGATTTCGGACACTTCAGGCTGCTGTGTTAACGTAGGCTATGTTGGTCTGCTATCAACAGGCTGGTATCCAATAGGTTTTGTAGGCGCGTATGTAAGTATGTTCAAAGGTGTAATCATCAAAAACAAACTTTTGCATATTAATGATATTTGAATAACATCATGTAAACCTCAATGTACTTTAAATTAGACTGAGTCATAGGTAAATGTTAAATCAAAGTTTTTCTCTTGTTGCGGCTCCTATCCAAAATACATAAAGAATTTAATCAGCTTTCTTTTTACATTTTCTCCTTAATCCATGGGTTTTAATATGATGGTTGGCTCACAATTTACAACAATCTAGTTTATATCACAGTGTGACACTCCATGTATATATATATTAAATTCCCAGGCATAAATGGAACCACAAATGACAATCATGTTTACTGCTCTGTCACTAAATAAAGGGTTTTACATTTTATTTATTATTTTTAAGGTTTTCCTTATTTACTAAAAATGTTTCTATGTTTTCTTGTAAGTACATCTTGAACAACTGTTTCACAGGGAGATTTAGTGACAGAGAAATATCTTCATTTCAGCTGAGGGTCTGCTTTTTTTCATTAATTACATTTACTCAATATAGCCAGCACATTCTGTAAAACTCTGTACTAAATTTAGATGTAAAAGGTTAAACATAACAATAGCCTATAACTGGATCTTGCCTGACTTAATTGACATTTTAGTTTTTTGATATACTACATAATTTTTTAGCCTGCTGTGTAACACCTAGATGCATACTTTATGCACGCACATACTAAAATAAGCTAAATAAGTGTACTGTTGAGGATACGTCTTCATTTCTGTGTCAAATCCCACTGATGCATTAACTTGGTCTCTGCCATGCTAAATCTCCTTATGTTTCAGCAGGAACAGTGTTGCTTTTTATATCAAATATGTCTCGACACTCTCATCATTTCAAGTTCAACTACTGAGAAACGCCTACTTCAAGATCTCACTTATTTCCACTACCATGGAGGATGATGTTTTCTGTGTTCCATTGATGAGGGCTTCTTATTTATGTGTGCTCATGCTTAACTCTTGGGTGACTTGATAATGAGTTATATTAACTAATTTATAGTAGATGTAGTCAAACTAAAAAAGGCAGAATATCACAAAGCCAAATAGGTTTACTCAGGACATCTGCTCTTTACTCGGACTAGGTTAAATTCAGCTTTAGAAACATTTCCTTACCATGCTGTTGCAGGGTTTAGACGTTTCCCCTATAATATATTTGTTTTTCTTTCAGTTGTATTGTACCAGGCATGTTTAAAATAAAAATTGTGAACATTTCTAAATGATCATAGTCCCTCTATTAATATATATCATTAATTCAAAAAGGGGTGTGTATATTTTATATCCACCGCATGCTTCAAATTAAACACAAAGAGAGCAAAAACTATGCTGCAATAGAGAAACACCAAGATGGTCTATCTCTATGAAGGAAAAAGAAGGGGAAAAAAACAAATCATGGATCAATTCTACTTTCAAGCCTGCACTAAGAAATGCCATATCTTACCAGTGCCACTCTACAATAACACATCCATCATAGTAACGGTAGCTTAAATGAAGAGGGAAAAGAAAAGTGAAATGAAGAACAGAAAAGATTTAAGATACATACGCACAAATAGCAGGTTGTAGTGTAGTTGCTAATCAAAAACAGTAAAAAATGAGGGAAAAAATAGAAACATTAAAAGAGATTAAATATTCATGTCAAATAAAAAAAGGAAGAATGATGAAATCAGAACAATAAACTCGACATCCTACTATAATGAGGAAACAAACAGCAGAGAGATGAAAAAAAAGATGACAGACATTGTAAGAAAATTAGCAAACTGACAGAATTAACCAATGTTGGCAGCTGGATATAATCAAACCAGTCATACTTGCCATATAAGAGAAAGATAATGTGTAAACCTTCCTGTAAGTTTGACATGTAGAAGTTGTTTATGTAGAATTAAACAAAAAAACTCATTTTCTATTTATTTTATATAAAATACTGGCTTTAAGAATATATATACAGCCAATGACGTTCAGAAAGATGCTGTGAACATATTAGTGCAGTTGGGGGTTCAGTAATATCTCAAAAACAAAGCTAAGATGAATGAACACTGACACAAAGCTATGTACAAACAACCAGTTTCTTTGTGGCCACATAAAGCATTGGTCACTCCTTTGAAATCAGTACAACTTGGAGTCAGGGGGTCAGCTGCTTGTTACATTTGGAGAGTGTAGAGTTATAAATCACAGGACAAAGAAAAAAGAGACTGTCAATATTTGCTTGGGTAAGATAAACTTAACAGTATATTGGCCACAGTAAGGAAAAAAGCCCACCTTGCATAGATGTTTGGAAAGACCAAAAGGACCTCAGTTCAACAAATAGTTTACTGATTACTCTAATGCATTAGTTAATAAGGAAGAAATTAACGAAATTAACAAAAAACTTAAATGAAACAAAACAATTATAAGGGAAATGTGTCATCAGCCAAACCAAGTTTATCTATAATATAAATGTTTTGATCTTCATGTCTTGGCTTCATGCTGCATAAAGTTATTTATTTATTTTATCTGTGAGCTTTTACCATCAACAAAATTCTCATGATTTTGCCGCTGCTGGCTGGCTTGATTGCTCATTTCCTTCACCTGTATAGCTCTGCCCTGTTCCTCATCAGATCCACCTGTTGTGGTTTCCTATTTAAGCTCCCTGTTTCCCAGCCATTGGTGTCAGATTATTCCTGAGGCTTTAGTAAAAAGAGTTTTCTAGCGTACTTTAGTGTTCTGATGATCTGATCCTGACCTGTTTTTGCCTTTGGACCTTTGAGCCTGCCTGCCCCTGTCTTGTTAGTTTTGCCTGCATGTCTCCGGTCCCCTGTCAGCTCTGCAGCCTTCCATGTCTAGAACTCTCTGGCAGCACCCGCTGCTTCTGTTCAGCCGACAGGCTGGAACTGTCCCCGTTCTTTGGACACAGGACTGAACTGTTAAACCAGGTTAGTGACTCGCGCATACAGAATCATCCTCTGTCAAGTTATCGCAGTCACTAACCTGTGTTTCTCTCCAACAGAGCTTCAGTCATAGACGACCTAGCTCCAGAAACCGCTGATCCACAGCCTGTTTTTGTGTTAAAAATTAACGCCTTTAAGTATTCCACTGTCTGTCTCGCCTGTATTCTGGGTCCAACACTCTAAGCTTATTAGAAAAATAAAGCTGACAATACTCTGAGGTTCACTTTCTTTGCTGAATAACTGTTTGTTTGGATCTATTTGATGAATCCTAATGACAGCTTAAACAATTTAATGGTTCAATCTGACACAGGAACCATGAAATCAATAAACACTGATTATGAATGATAACAAAATAACTTAAAAGTAAAGATCATGCGTTTAAATGTTGATTTTATAAATTACCCATAATCTACCTATCAGAAGTTGAATGTATTTTATTTCTATATGAATGTATTATTAAGAAAATGTTCTAACTGTTATAAACCTTCAATTTTAATTTTTAACTGAGCAACAAAGCCGTGCACAGATGCAGGGTGGTCGTGGTTTGAATGTGTTTAATCTGCAGCACAGCAGGGATTTTTTTAGATTGACTGCATTTACAGTACTTGACTGAGTTAATGTGCTAAATTGTTGCAGATTCTGTTTTAGATTTCTTACAAGCATAAGAACTGATGGAAACTTCCCTTGCAGTTTGAATAAGGTATTTAAAGAACAGCTAGATTAAAGTACAGCGGGGGCAGAGTGTGAGAGAATAGTTATGAAGATGAACACTACACACTAGACTTGTGCAGTTTAAGTATTGCATTGCATAGTCACTGGGGATGGAGGTTTCAACCTATTTCTTTCCCCAGTCTTTTTCTCAATCTCAGATCTTTATGCTTTAGTCTTGGTCTCCTGTTGTCAGGGATCAAAATATTGTATTGAAGCCAGCCCCATGCTTTGCAGTTTTGTAAAAAATAAAATACTATTGATACAAAACATAATTCCCTTTGATCTTCACTTGCAGATGCTCATCACACCGCATGTGAATTAAAAACAGTTTTTGTGATCCGAGCACCACTGGATCCCACCATCTCAGACTAAATACAGTGTTGTTATTGCTGTGAAAATCTTAAGTGTGAGAATGTCTACAACACCATGGCATTTATTATTTTTTAAATATTGCCATTTTTGATCCATTGCTTTAAAAAAGCAAACATCGACCCGCAATCTCGCTTTCACTCAGAACACACCTGCTGTCTCACCACTGAACATGTCCTTGGTTTTGGAAATGATGAGATCTGCTTTTGAAAAGCATGGAGAGTTTGAATAGAAGGCAAAGAAAAAACATGACATGTTAAATTCTAAACATTTGGCCTAGATCTCGGTCTGGAAAAAGCTGCCGTTGATTCTTTCCCTTATAGTCCCTGCAGGGGTCAAATCTAGTTGGACTTTACAATGTGACAAACTATTGCAGCTTCAGTACAGTTGTCCTGTAGTGTTTTGATGCTAACAGACCAGACAGTTTGTGGGTGCAATGTTCTGAAAATTTGCTAAAATGTAACTTGCATTCTAACCAGGCAGTCACTACCCAATCCGTCCCGGAAGCATGATCCATACCATCGGCTCATTTGCGCATGTGCAAGCAGATATTCATTCAGGTCGCCATAAATAATGTTATCATGGTACTAAATTTTTTTTTATCATAGTACAAAAAGACAAGATTTATGTTTAAATCCAAAACCGAAAAGGTATCTCCCAGAAGTAGCCTATTATTCTATTTCCGGCACAGACAAGTGATAAAACAGAAATTATTTTAATGCATTTATTTTCTCAGGAAATAGATTATTAACCTTCAACACATTATAGCTACGCTTACTATTTTTGGGGAGAGAAAAATGTAATTTAGGTATTCTTTTTAAAATTAAAATCTGATGTGCCCGGGATGTTTATCTGGTTGCGAATGTGCAAATGAGCTGATGGTACGGATCGTGCTACCAGTTTTTTTTCTCTTTTTTTGTTCTGTTTTTCACCAAAAGAACGGATCAGAAATCCGGATTGGATGCTTCACCCGTAAGGCTTATTTATACTTATTATAGCCTTATTTATTTTTAACATATTGGGCTTTCAATTTATCTATTTTAACTGCAAAGTTTCAAAATATTGATGATAAAACAGAAAGATAAATCTAAATGTATTGCAAAAGTCTTAACATATTAGGTATAAAATTCATGTTTTATGTCCCATATATATACATGTCCAATATACTATATATAAAGTACTGATAGTAGTTACTCTGTTCAAAACTGATAACATGTTTTAGCTTAACCACTGCTCTGAAACGTATGCAATTTATTAATCAGAATCCCAATTCTTTATTAATCCCTTGTAGAAAATTAGGCTAGGGAGAAAAATAGGATTGTAAGTACAAAATAAATTTAGGAATAATATAAGGATAAGAATGAAATAAGGATGAGGAGCACCTAAGAATAACCTTTTACATCCACACAAGTTAGAAAAGTCCTGCTGTGTTTTATTTCTTATTTACAGCAGCTTTTGGCATCACCAGTTTGTGTTAAAGCACAATAAATTTCAAATCATGTAAATCTGTCACAACTTTTTCCAAGGCCTGGAATGAAACAGAACCGTTTCTTCTAGAAGAAAATAAAAAGGTTCAAATCCTCCATAAACGGTCCAACCTCTAAAACAGCAGTGTCATTGTGGTTGTTTTAAGTTTCCATGGACTGACAGGGTGAGAAATCAAGAAAGACATTTTCTTCTGAAAATGGATGTGCGGTCGGCAACGTGTAAAAGCCAAACTGGTGCTCTACTCCTTAGATGAAGACTGAAATATGTGAGAAATATGTTTGGAGGAGTTGGAGTTGATCTTTGGATCCTATAACACTGTATTAACTCCAGAAGGGGAGAAGCACACAATGTTAGAATATATCACTGCTAATTTTGCACCAAATTCTTGTTTTTATAATTCATGGACGATGTTTGTTTCTTATTTAGAGGGATATTTATACTCTTGGTGATTATGTTTAAACTAAACTTAAACTGCTGTATTACTGTATCAATCTTTGTTGTTCCACTAACATCATTCTGATCTATGATTAGAAAGTTTATTTCCAAGTTGCGGGTGATTTTATTTACTTCGTTTTTGGCTTTATTGTTTTTACAAATGCATGTGGAGCAAAATACGGCAGGGTAGGCTGGGGTCATTTTGCAGAGACCCTCACAGCAATGTGAGATCACAGAAATAAAGCCGCAATACCAGGCAAAAGGCACAGTAATGTGCTCAAAGTGGCTTAGAACATAATCATAAAGCAAGCATCCATCAGAGGATAAAGACAGCAAAAACAACATTAAAATCCTCTTCCGATGATCTTCTTTAAGGTTAATTAAACTCACAGAAACCTACTGTATTCCATTAAGTGTGCTACAGTAAATGTATTGTTAGTACTCAAAGTTTGCATTTACCTAATATAATTTTGTCTTAATCAGCTGCATGTTAACAGATAACGCCAGGTAACCGCCATTAGACTGTCTCCAATCCAACAGCTTGGTCTCTTTCCCCAAGCATACGATTGGATCCTATTTAGATAATGATAAAGATGCAGCAAAATACCTGTTTGATTTTAACCTGGACTGACATAACCTTTAAACATAATAAGAGCTGCTTATCTCTGCAGAATAAGGCTTCTCCAACCCTCGGGCTCAGCATTCTCATCCTAAGTGCTTTTAATAACGGTTTGAAAACATCAAGGAACAATGAGACTTGGTTCCTGCACATTATTCATGAGCATATCAGAGACTTTTACAATATCAGAATCCCACAGACGTTCAGTGTTAGTGTTAAATGTAAAATATTGGTTCGTTTACTATAACTAAGAAATTTTAAAACTGGGGGGGGCACTTACACAGGGAGGAATTAAATCGAAAGGAACAAAAAGAAAAAAGAAAAAAAAAGGAAGGAAAGGACACGAGTGAAGTAAGACCGAAAATTTGGGAGAATAAAGTAAAGTACGGTAGGATTCAAGGACTAAACAAAGGACAGACAGAAGGTTGTGGATATACTATTTAGACAGTGGGAGAATCAATAAAGTCTAAAAATAATGGTATTTTGTTTTGCTCTTTTTATCCAGACCCATACAAAATCCCATGATTTTCCTCAGACGGAAACAACACAAAGGAGATGCAACTTTAAAAACTTGAGTTCGGATCTTAAAAATGCATTGAAAATCAAAGGATGTCAGCTCACATTCAACACAATTCAGCTGTAAAAAGGTAAGAGTTTAGTGGGAGCAGGCTCCAAGTCATTGAAGTCTTCTTTCAATCGGCAACAAAAGCGCACAAGAAAGGTGCTATTTGTTAGTTGACTTTAATGGATGTCTGGGTGATCAGAGTGCTCTTACTTGATGTTGTCCAGGCAACCAGAGTCTGGTTTCAGAATGGCTGTATGGTGGAACATCTTGTAGAGAGCGATGCCCAAGAAGATCACGTTGAGCTGGAAGAAAAAAAAAGAGAGAAGAAGAAACAGGGACTCAAGCAAGTCCATTTCATGTCCCACTCCCATTAATTTTAAATTGGGGCACTTTGTATCACAAAGACAGAACATTGTAACCAGACTTAGTTTTCCACTTTGCCAAACAGAGCGCAAAATCTCCTGAGGGCTTCTATAGAAGGAAACAGACAGCCCAGGGCCCAGTGAATTATACTCAAGCTTAACTTTCTCACAAAATATTTTAGCAAATAAAATATAAACATACCGACAATGGTGCACCTCATTAATCTTCCTTTTTCAGATTGTCATCACAACAAATAGAAAATGGTCACAGCATGAGTGGGACCTGTTTAGAGTGACTCCTTGGAAATTACAGCAATTAGTGTAATGGAACACAGTTTCCTCCTATACACAGTACTTTCATTTTGGGATATATTTTTTTTAAATGAACATTATTGTTCATTGTTATCGTTGATTTTATTTATTTAAATATTTATTTTTTCTTTGTAAATGGTTAAAATGCTTTTTAATTCTTTGCACATTGTACACTGTCGTCAAAGGAACTGTAAAACCTGTATGACATTGTACATCTGTTTTAACAACAATAAATTGATGTGTCAAAAAAAGCAAAAAAAAAGTTTAAACAGATAGGGAAAAAAATTTTTTGTTTGTTTTTTTTTATTGAAGAAAAACCAGAAGGTAAATTTCACCAGTTTGTATTTATGTTAATAAGCTATATCTACATCACTTCTTCCTCAACAAAATGAGACAAATACAACATAAATAAATTTAGTTATCAATCTTTGTCATTGCCATTACATAATATGTATTATTTGTTTGAGTAGAGTACTTGAATTCTGTCAATGCCTATTTAAAGGGAAGAAATAGAATTAGTCTCCCTTTCCTCTTTTTCTTCATCTCAAGTGTTTTTTTTCTTTGCTATCTTTATAATTTTGACAATTAAGATATAAATGTGTATTTATAACTATAAAACAAAAAAAATTATATTCTCTTTCTATGAGTTAAGTAGCCTTTGCAGATACAATTGTGTATTTAATCAGAGCAATTAGAGCTATGGATCTTGTGCCCTGTCATAAATATTTGTAAAGATGAAGATGAAGGACACCAGACCAAACTATGCAGATGAGGTGAAGTTCACCATAGAAGCAGGAAGGACCTCGCTAATATCTCTGCAGAACCACAGGCTAATTAATTCCTTTGCACAAGCTCATGCATAAAGAGCCATAAGTTGTCAGTATGCTGACTTTTCTTGCCTAAAATCAGCCTAGCTTAATGAGAATAGTCCGCTAAACAACTGTCTTCCATTGTTTTCAAAGCTGCTTGATCAATAAATGCCAGTTTGGAAAGAACTAGCCTCCGTCCTACTTGGGAAAGACATTGTTCCAGACAGTGCATGGTGCATGCTCAAAGGAGCGCATTCGCAGACCCTTCTTCACTGCTGTTGTTAGACTCAGGGGCCAATCGTTGTTTACAAATATGCTACTGCTTTCACGGCTTCTTTATCAGATGAAAAATTATTTGCACAGTTTCTAATCCCCTTAATTTGTGCACAACACAAATATTAATACTGTTATTTTTTCTTTTCATTAACTCTAAATTGTAGAGTTAATGAAAAATTACTTTTCTTTTACCTCATGCATTTTTCTGAGATACTGAAGGGAGTTAATTTTTTCTGCTGCACCAATTTACTTTTGATAGTTTGTCCTTTTCGTGTTATTTAATGTTGGGTGTTAGTCTGTGTTTTCTCTATTTGTTTCAGCCATTGTTCCAAAGAATTTCCACACAGTCAGAAAATAAAGCTATTTCTTGAGTCTTCTATTCCTAAAAGAGTGTGTGTCCTCCTTGCAGTGTATATGCAACAACTCACTGACTGTATGGCTGAAGATGGAGAAAGGGTAGAGGAATAGGAGCTGGAACGGGAACAAAATCAATCATAATCACTGTGCGGATTACTCCAACACTGCGTAAAGAGCAGAGTTCGTTCTCTCTTTAACTCTCTGGCTCCATAACGTTGCTCTCAGCTTCCCTCCAAAATTGTTTTATCCAATGACCGCAGCGCCTTGACAAGCTGCAATATATACCTTCTAAGCTCCTCATTCATTTTTCTCAATGCCTTCGTGCCTCACGGTGCCATGTGTGCTCAACGGAGGAACCAGGAAAAAGGGGGATCTCTGTGGACCATTTAAGCAGCGACCCGCAGGCTAAGTAGGGTTAATGAGCAGAAGGGAGAAGAGGGAGGAGGGTGGCTGTTATTAGAAGTAGGGACTGCAGCTTACCATAATTATCAAGGTTGCAGGTCCTATAAAACTCCAGATAAAGTACGTGTCCAGGCGAAGCCAGCAACTGCAACAACAGAGAACAAGAGGTGAAGGGGACAAAGAGTGTAGGCAAGGGGATGGGAATCATGAGCAGAAAAAAACTAGCAAAAGAAGAGACTGAGATATGATGTTATAGCTTATACTCCAGCTCAGGAGGCTATATATGAAGGCAGAGGCTGGAATGACAAAAATAAATAAGCACTTCAAAATATGCTGGATTCAAAGTTGCTGAAAGAAATATAAACATCATATTCTAACTGTCAATAATCTCCATGATGACACCTAATAAAGTCCAAAACAGATCACATGTGTTATTAAAAATAAAGGTAAATACCCAGAGCAGGAATTAGCTTTGGTTTCCGTTTGTAGGCTGTAAGTAAGGAATCGCCATTCAATTATCCATCAATTGAGTACTAATTGTCTTAATCCGAAGGAATTGGACTGACCTTGACGGTCATTTAAATTCTCACCAGTGTGTCTTACGTGTCCATGTTAACTGTGAATACTCTGTAGGAGCTGCCATTATTGCATCACTGCTATAATAAAGTACTCTCCTAACCTCCCACTTTGTACTGAAACAAAGCGTAAAGTCAATCTCGCCCTCAGCCCAACTGGGCCAGCGGAAGGTGACACAATTTTCTTGGAATAAGGGAGGGCTTTGGAATATGATTTATGACCTGTGGTTGAATTATTAATCTTCTAATCTCCGCTGCTGTAGCAGATAGTTGCCTCCATTTTTGTCCACTGAAAAATTACAGTTCTGCCACAGCCACTGTCGCTCAGACTGACGTGGAGTGGAAGTGGCAGGGAATGAGCTGTAATTCAACAGTATTTTTAGGCAAATGTGTTTGTGAAAACTCAAAAAAGGAATCAGGAAGGATGTGGAACAGCTCCCCGTGAAATGGATTATCTTTTTCCAACTATGCTGTGAAGAAAATATATACTTTGAATTTTTTACCATTTTCTCTTGTAACCAAAAACTCCTTCGCACGTCATACAGAGTGCATGTGATAGACTAAGACAGAGTAACTGGAAGGGAAATGATTCATGGCTTCCATCTTTTTTTTGGAATGAAAAGTGATGGTGGGCAGCAATTGTGTTAAGGCTCCTTCAACCAGTACTTTGTAGAAACCATCCTTTCGCCAAAGCCTCATGTCTTTGTTGCCTTTAAGTAAGGAGCTCTGACTATATGTCCTCAGCATCTGGTGTTCCTCCAACTTTTAGATGTTTCTACTTCACTACAGAATAAAAGATAATCATGATGTATTAACAGGACGCTTTAGTTGCCTTTTGTATCTCTGCTTCTTACTGTATGTCTGCTTCTGTCTCCTTGAACCCCAGTCGGCCTCAGCAGATGGCCGCTCACACTGAGTCTGGTTCTGTTGGTAGGTTTCTTCCTGTTAAAAGGGAGTTTTTCCTCTCCACTGTCACTACAAGCATGATTGGTGTGAGGGATTGCATTTGAGTCAATGAGTCGATGCAATCAACCAGTTTTCCTTAGATAGAAAACTTTGAACCAATCTGACTGAGTGATCTGGTTGAATTGTCTCTGTAAAGTGCATTGAGATGACATGTGTTGTGAATTGGAACTATATAAATTAACTGGATTGAAATGTAGAACTTGACAGCTCAGTCTGAGGAGACTATTTAACCTTAGAAACATTTCAAAGTTCTGTTCCACTGAGTTCTGTTCCAGTGTTCCATTGAATCCATTGTCCCTAATGAAGACCAACTGTCTCAATTTTCTACCATATACTTTTATGCTGTATCATTTTTGTTCAGTAACTGAAATCTCGATTGCAATGTAAATTGTAGTTGACAATAAAGTTGACTGATTGATTGATTGACTGAAATTTGCATACTGAACAAAAATGTATATTTTGCCCTAAGTTGCCCTAACTTTTTCTATATTTGACAAGTTACCTATATGGCTAGAATATGTTTATATCTACAGTGACTTTCTTTTTGATCATCTTAACAGAGACCGTAGAGAACAACTAAAAGCCTGGCCAGCCAGACTGACTTAGGTTAGTCGTTAGTCAAGTCTGTTATGGCTCAGACTTTTCAATCTAAAACAGACGGGACCAATCACAGCCAAGTACGTGGGAGTTCATGCTTGCACTAAGATTAACCGTAGGGCAACAATGCTTTTCTGTAACCATGCCAGTCAAGAATGCCGCAGCAACTGAGCAACATTTTATATGCCCTTTACTACTGAGGTGATATCTAAAGTTTTATCAACTGCCTGCTTAAGAGCTTTGCTTTTTGTTAAAGATGTTTTTGCACCGTTATCTGATTGGTTCATATCTGTTTTCAATAACACTGTTAGTGCTGCCCTGGTCCTGTCTTGAAAATCTAATTCTAACAGCTTCTTTCCATACAAACGTATTGTTTATATAGTGTGAGTCAGTCATGCTATCCAGGCTAAACCATCAACACTTGTCTTACAAACTCCTACTTGAGCTATGGATGTGTACAGCTCCACCAGAGATACCACGGAGCTTTCTGACTGCGCTAATTAACACTTTCTCTGGTGGCCTGTCAGTTAAGATGAATCACCAAGACTTAATAGGATTATAGTTGTGCCATATCATTCCCACCTCATTTGTCTGTTGGAACATCTAACTGCGGTTAGGTTTGGTTAGATGTAACCACAAAGATATTTTGTCTTTCAAGCTGTGTCCAAACAGAGCCAGTTTTTTGGAAGAGCGATCATTTTTTAAATTGGATCCCCGAGTGGAGCAGTCAGAGAATGCAGGTTTCAGTGTGTAGATGTAAACTGCGTCTTTTTTTTCATAATAACATTCTATGTCAACCTCTCTCTGTAACCTGAATGTGCTTCTTTTCTGCCATATTGGTTTGTTTACATCGCATAAGCTGTCTGTGCATGTTTTTGCCAGTGGCTTTGGGTGTGATTCTGCGTGTTGTCATTGATACAGAGAGTTGGAGACGAATCGAATGCCATTAGAATAAAAGCAACCCCTTGTCTTGTCACTTGTAATGTTTTATTTTATCCTGTTTCAAAGTGTAATCTGCTACTTTCCAGAGTTGTTTTGAAGCAAAGGAGAAAACTATACAGACTAGCATATGTTTTTTTATGTGAATGAAGTGCCAATTTCTGCATATGATAAAGATGCTTTTTTTATTCTTCCTCTTTACAGCACGGAGAACAAAAATAAAAATATTTATAAATTTATGTAATTTTTTTCTGAAAAACCTGTGTTGGGCTTTTATTAATTAAAAAGTTTGCTTTAATACAAACAAAGACCTCAGTAAAAGTACAGTACAGCAGCATCTTCATAATCTTTAAGATGTGATTGATTTTCTATCTTCAACACTCTGTGCCCCCCCCACATACAATCTGGAATACATTGAGGAAAAAAACTGCACATAGATAAACTAATTATTTTAATCGGGTAACTTTCGTCTTAAGGTATCAGTGCAGTGGAGTTGAATATAGATTTAAAGGTAGTTTCCAGCATCACTTCCTGTTCACTGTAAACTTCAGGGTTTGTGTTAATGAAAAGGAAAAAATGTGGATATTAATGAATTTATATCAAAATACCACATGAAAGCAAACCTTTTAAGCAATGTCCAACAGTGTCTTGTCAGAAAAGAGAGAGAAAAAAAAAAAAAAAAAAAAAAATATATATATATATATATATATATATATATATAGTTTGCTTCCAATGCTGTGAAGGAAAAACTAAAGAAAAGCATCTTCAGTATTTGCAGACATTGGCACTTAATTCACATAACAAGCATATTTTCCAGTCTGTACATTTTTCTCCTTTGCCTCAAAACTATTCTGCAAAGCAGAAAACACTTTGAAACAGGATAAAACACAACTTAACAAATGATATGACAAAAGGGTTCCTTTTATTTTACTGGGAGTTGATTCGTCTCCCACTCTTTGGTATCAATGGATGAGAAAAAAAAAAATTACATATGTGTATATATATATATATATATATATATATATATATATATATATATATATATATATATATATACACACACAATACATGGTCGCATAAAACAGCAAACATAGAAGAACATCACATACAAAAGTCTGGCAGCTCATCAAAGCTCATGTTCCAAACTTCTATTGTTCATGTTTCTCCTTCTTCCTCCTCAGATCACAGTGAGATTTAAAGAGTTGGTAGGCGGCAGGAGCTAGGGGCTGTCATTTTCTCTCTGCCTCCTCTTACCTCCTTTACGCCACTCTTGTCATGCTTGTGTCTGGCGTTTGGTGTATGCATAGCCAGTTTTATCACCCCTCCTGGCATGCTTCTCTCATTTTTTTTTTTTTTTTTTTGTGATGTTCCTACAGAAACCAAGCGATAATAAATGCAAATGTCTGCCAGTTTAAACACATGCCGTTTCTGTGCCAGCATCTCATGCTCTGGTTTCCTGGAACTGTAGGAAACAAATCTGCTTTGAGTGGATTCATGCTATCTTCACAGAAAAACCGAGGTCTTTGCATCTCTGCATCACAAGCAGTGTTTTTTTTTCTAGAATATTGAAAGGCTGTTTATAAAGTCCTGTTAATTAACATAGCCTTTGCTTCTTCAGATATTCTGAAGAGCATTTTAATTTAGAGAATGATTTTATATAATAGTACAGAAGGTACTGTATATTACTATTGCACACACTGTTAGAGCTATAAAGTTAAGTTTTCATATAAAGGGACAGGAATCAGAAAAGTCACATATTCTATTTGAGTCATGATAAAATATCAACCTTAAAGGATACCATGTTTCCTGCATTTTAAAAGAGTAAAAATCCCCAATCATGTATTCTTTTGTGCAATAAGTTTTCCCTAAAATTAAAGTCTGGGGAGATTACACGGAAATATATAGTAGTTCTTCGTGGTCAGACAGAATTTCCACTTGAAACCACAACACTAAAAATAAATCAATTCTTTTTTGTGGTTTTTCCTAAATCTGTCTCAAGTGCAAAAAATAAGGTTTCCAACAGGCTATGCTTGTGGGATATAGTGCCATTATTTACCATTTTTAAACAGAAGAAAACTTCCGTTTGAAGAGAAAAAAACATACAGGAGAGGTGCTGATTTTTCTGCCTTTTACAAATATCTCACAAAAAATAGGAATCCAAAAATGCCAAACCTTGTGAGTACTAGTTCATTTCTTCCAGATTTACAATTTAACTAGAAAGTGTTTAACAGAAAGGCAGAAACAGAAATTTGTTCATACATATGCAGACTGAAAGGAAGAAGGGACCCTGAATAAGAACAGGGATTATAATTGTCTTATTGTAGATTTTTTTAATCCTTATCAGAAACCTGGATGCTTTAATGAAAGTCCATAGATTTGCTGAATATTTAAGAATGCACAATCCGCAGCTACCAGGAATGATAACTGTGGGGAGGGAAGATGAATAGAGATAAAGTTTTTTTTTGGTCCCAGACTGTTTAAGGTCAGGGGGGAAAAAGCTGGTCGGGAAAACATGATGGTAGTATGAACGATTAGATAATGATTAAAACTAGAAAAGCACAGACCTCTGCCAAGTATTCCATTTTGCCCCTAGCTGAGACTTAAACTCACACATTCCTTGGTATGAGGGACACCTTTGATAAAAATTTCCCTAAAATCAATTAATAAGATTTCAATGGATTCTGTTGTTTCAGACCAATAACAGCCCCTTTTCTTGTGTTTTTGGCTTCAGTAAAATAACTCCAGACTTTTTGAGTCCGATGCTGAAGCCGTCAATCGTCACTGCTGCCACCCTCTGGTTTAATGGGGAACTGCTCGTTACACCAAATATACCAATCTCACAAAATCTTCGAAAAAAAATTACCAAAATCTAATGGATTTTTCATTGGCATGAGGGACACCTCTGATAAAAAAAAAACAAAAAAACTATTAAAACCATTTTATGACTTCTGAAGTTAAACTCTACACAGACAGACAGATAGACACACAAACATTCCTAGAGACATAAGCTTGGTGGAGGTAACTATAATCCTTGTTTAGTCATCCCTGTCCAGCAGGTAAATCTGAATTAAATTGCTTGAAACTGTTTAAAATGATTTGTTTAATAGGAAAGTAGATTCTTTGATTTGATTGTGAGGCCTTTCTCAGATTGGCTGAGAACTATTTCTTTTCAATTAGATTCCAAGTGATTCCTATTGGCCACACACATCTATCTGCACACATTAAAGGAATCAGAAATGGGCAACAAAACACTGGGCATGCTTTACTTAGAAGAACACGAATATCTCTTTTTAGGTTATTTACAGTAAATATAAAAAACCTCTTTGATCAGACATTAAAAGAGGACCGCAGAATCTGCTTGACCATGAGACAACTAGACATCAACTATCTACTGCAACTAGGTCACTGCAATTAGGTGGATATTTCTCCTCAAAGTGACCCCGCCCATGATAATGCAGCAACAGCACCATGAATCAATTTGCAGCAGGACACTGTACCACACCTCCCACTTCACCCAACACCACCACTACCTTTAGCTATTCACCATGTGTCATGCTTTATCCGTCGCCTCATCCTTCAATGGCAGCATATAATTGTTCCACCGGTGGCAGCCTTTAATTATTCACATGATGCCAAGGCTCAGGCGGTGGCAGCTATCACCTCATCCATCACCAAGAACTATTGCGCTGCCAATCTACAAATGCACTGTCTTTCTAGTTCTGTGCCTTGGCCCATGTGTGTGTGGCATACGTGATAAACATCTCAGCAAACTGCTGATGCGGGTCTTCATTATTCTCAGATGGGCCGGAGATTAACGGAGAGGAATGGAGAGCGATACCCTGCTTGGAGTTTAGGTGGTTTAGAGACTGCAGACCATTCTGTAGTTTAGAGAATGGGCAGAGCATTTGTCAGAATGTAACTCTGTGAGGCATTCTCTGTCACGTTCAACTTTACTGGGGATTTGAGACGCTTTTTGTGGCAAATTTCCCATCAGTTTTTGTAAGAGCTTTTGTGGGACCTGTGGTTACTGGTTTCAGCTGATTCAGATTTCATTTACAGAACGATGTCATCGCCCTGTCATTTATTATTTATATCAGAAGCGGAGGTAATATTACAGTGTGCCTACTGTACATGAGTAGTGGCTTCAAAACAGGGTTACTATAAATAAACCACAGAAAGAAAGTGATTATGTTTATGGTAATTATGCTTTAAAGCATTTATACTACTACTACAACTGTAAAATAATTAGAATAAAAAATAATAAACAGATAAATGGAAAGAGAATTAATAAAACTACTAATAATAACAATACGCCTGATTCCATTGGCAATACCTATAGAACAGCGGCGATTCCTCACTGACTACTACAGAGGCTAAACTTGTCCTGTAAATTTCATAGAATTATTGGTAAAATATTAAATTTGTGAAACTTCACAAATGTAGTCTTTAAACTGCATTAAATATACTCTAAAATTCACCCAACTTCATTAGTGTGTTGCATATTAATCAGCTGTTTATTCAGCTCTTGGACACAATCTCCCCTACGCTCATGAGCAGCAGGATGCTGCCTGTATCAGAAACCTCTATTGATGTGTGAACCTCTATCTATTGAGGTAAGCAGTGAGAAAGTAAACCCCTGATTGGATAACGAGCCCATATACGTCAATTCCAGTGAAGCTAAAGCTCTTAGGGGGGTCTATGGAGCAGGGGCGGGTTGTAAAGTTGGCAATTCGATCATACTTAAGAAATTTTGACTGACACCTTATGGCAGATAAGAGTTAAAGAGATAAATTTAGTCAGAATCACAACTGCATAGGCTGATGCATGATTTCTTCTCTCCATAAAACAGATAAAGACAACCTTCAAAGTTCCATGCATCAAGTTTTAAAAAGATATTTTAGACTTGGAAGTATAGTCTCCTCCTAGTTAGATTAAATCCTATATGAAAGAACACAATCCATGACATGGTTCATCTACAGTTAGCCCAATGGTTCAGATGTCAGTTGTGCTGCCTTGCAACAATTTTTTAATTGAAATAAAGCTCTAGGAGGTATATATTTTCAATAAGAGTTTACTCTAAATAGTTGCACTGTTTTGGTAATAAAATTAATGAAAAAATAAGCTGAATTTGTACTCACACTGTATCTGTTCCATAGCTGCGGTAGTCCACCGCCGCAGAGACAGCTACAATCAGAGCTGGCACACCGTAACCCACCAGGTAGAAGTATCGTCGGCGTGAGTGCTCGCTTTCAAACACCTCCACCAGCATTATGTAGAGCTGCACCCCCTCAAGGAACATCCATGTGAAGGCAGCCAAGAAGAAGAAATGGAGCAGGGCGGCAAAAACAGCGCATGCGATCTGAAAGGTTTAAAAGGTGATAGAGATGATTTGACACATGGGGGGGGGGATAAAAACAGATTTAATCACAATGATAATAAGTCTCAAAATTTGTAATTTTCCTTATTCCCCCGACACACACACAAAAAAAAATTACTGGCAAAATGAGTCTTGGAAGTGACTCCAATCTGCAGCCTTCTTTGACCTCCCACAGTCAGCTTTTCTTACAATTAGAATGGCAAAGCTTTGTTTGGCTGAAGCCATTGGATGTATGCCTGTGGCGACTGGCAAAAGAACACTGCAGCACATGCATTGTTGTTTGCTTTAGCTGGCATGGAAGTAAGAGTAATATGAAGAAGTGAAGTCTGCTGTCCAAAAGCCATTTAGCACAGCAACATAAACCAGGTGCAGGCCCATAATATGGTTACATACTTTCTATGCTCAAAGTCAATACAAGAGATACCCCCCCTTCATGTATGCTCCTGCACTTACATTGATTGATCCAATTATTGGCACAGTTTGACATAACTAGGGTATTTTGTTACTGGGATGGATTCAGTTTTATAACTAAGAGGTTGAGTGGACATTAATTGCAGTCCAGGAAAACGATTCCACTGCTGGGCTGTGAGTCATACCCATAAAATGTTATGGGAGGAAAAGGTGCAGGCCCCGAAGCATTGTCTTTAACTTCACAGGAAGTTAGCTCTGTGGTCTGTAGTTTTTAACTTCTGACAGTTATTACACTCTGACGGGAAAATAAAGATGTGTTTAGATTGCTTAAGGCCTGGGAAATTAGAGATGTATAATTTCCTTTCTCTGGCATTTACATTTATATTCATTAAACTGTTGTAAAATGATTTATGAAGGATATTATGCAATAAACTTTACCCTTGGAAATCATAACAAAGATTGTTACCTATATGCATGGCAAGAATGCAAAGCGAAATGTATTGCTTGCCTGACTAAAAAACGAAAAAAGACAGTTTGTTAAAGGGGCTATTGAGACATATATGGTTCTCTTAAATGCATTAATTATCTCCCTGCGGTAGATAATTCTGTTGTTTTTTGCATTTAGAAAAAAAAACACATTAGAGAGTCTTGACCAGTTAATCTGGAACAACCAAAACTGATTGGTACTTTTATATGAAACTTCATTGACTTCATTGGAGTAAAAGTGAATATAAGGGACACAAACTGATAATCTAAGGCAAATATGTCAAATTCAAGGCTCACGGCCAAATCCAGCCTCTCTGCAATCCATCTAGCCCCGAAGAGCCTAGAAGACATATAATGCCATTAAGTAGAATTATAAGTTCTCTTAAAGTGTACAGAGTGGCTAAAACGGCAAGATAAAATCTGAGTAAATTTGTAATACCAGAGACGTGCTTTTTGTAAGTAAAAAAGATGAAATCAAAGGTTTCATATACAGAGCTGAATGTGGCCCTTTTAAAGACTTAATAACACTAAAGTGGCTGATTTGAAAATCAGTTTTAATGATTGATGATGTTTTGATGCTGCTGCTAGAAGCATAACATAGTATGAAGCATTAAGAAGAAATTACCTTAATTGTCTCTTAAAAAACATCTCACTGTACTGCAATTTCATGTGCTATAGAACTGAATGAAATGACTGGGATAATGTCGATTTTATTGGCTGTCTGCCTTGAACTAGGTTTGACATGCTGTAACAACTGTGGATCTTTGATAATGCTACCCACCAGTTGCATTCTAACCTGTGTCTCTTTTTGCAATTGTATTTGGCATTCTGGTAACCCTTTTCAGTGTTTCTTATATTATCTCAAAAATAGGTAAACAGCTCTGAGAGGAAGAATTTATTTTATTGTTAAACAGGAAAAAATATGAATACTCTCTGATTTGTTCCCCTGTAGAAGTGTAGGAGCATTAGATGCATTTCATGATTAAAAACCAATTACAATAAAATAGAGAACAAAAATGGAAAAATATATTACACTAAAAATGCTATTTTACAGATGAAAACTATATGCTGAATATAGACAAAAAATACTATAACTTTATGTCTATATTTTGTCTATGGATAATATGCAAGGTAACAAAAGATTATAGTAAAATTTCTAAAGGTGATCTTCAAGAACAAGGAACATCAATGACAGATCGCACCATTCGTTGTTTGAGCCAAAGTTGACAGGTACATCAGCTCTATGTTCACAGATGGAAGCATGAAGCATATCACTGTCCCTACTGTAAAACACGGAGGAGGCTCTGTCATGTTCTGGGACTACCTTGCTTTATCTGGCACAGGGTGTCGGGAAATAAAGGTTCAATGAAACCTTAAGACTATCAAGGCTTTCCAGAGAGAAATGTGCTGCTCATTATTGAAAGTTTAGTCTCAGTTGCAGGTCGCGGGTCCTGAAACAGGATAGTGTCATAAAACGCGCCTCAAAGAGCGCTGACCTAAATCCTATTGAGCATCTTTGGAACAAACTGAAACATGTCGTCTGCAAAAGACAACCTTCAAACCTAACAATGAGGAGTAGGACAAAATACCTGCTGAGAGGAGCAGAAGTCTGATTGACGGTTACATGAATCGCTTCAATCCTCAAATGGTTGTGTAATGAAATATTGAGTTAAGGGTGTCATCATTTTTGCCCATGCCTGTTTCATGAGTTAAATTTTTATCATTTTATTGAAGCATGGTTGAAACATTAATTTCATTGAATTTTTATTGATTAACCTTTAATTGACAGACAGCATAGAGCCAGCACACTTGATCAAGTTGAGCAAAAATACTTTATTTTTTGGCTGTACTCTGAGGGACACATTTGTGTGTTTTTTGTTTTACAGTTATTTTCTAGAAGAGTGTAGTCCCAGTTCAATCGGCGTCAACCATGTGTTTCTCTGACACGTAATGACGTCTGTAAGGCTGATGGCTGCCCGGATTTAGCACAGCTGTCCTTTGAATAGTGTTCTGGCTGTTAACCTACAAAAGGTGAAGGGAAAGGACTTCTGTTGGAACAGGAGGTAGGAGCTACAGTTCGAGTTATCTGGATTGAGCCCTTGAGTGCATGTCAGTACAATTTCAAAAAAAGGGCACAAATCTTGGTCTCTTTATAGAGAACCTAATTTGGATCTGCACTAAATAAAATTGAAAGACCTGCTGTAGATAATATATCACTGTATATGCATTTGATAGAACATCATATAAAAATTCAAGTCTCTCTTCAGAATCCTTTGTTGACCTTTAAGCATGAAATCACTCTCCCGTTTGCTGCTCTAGGAGTGCACTCTAGAAAATGACTCTGCAGCGACAGCATGTTTCCACCTGTTACCACAGTTTAGTTTTACCAAAAAATAAAATTTCATCCAAAACGTAGCAATTAAAAAAGGAGGTTTAAGACTTTATTCTTCTGATCCAAGATTAGCCTGAAGGAGCAGAAAAGTAAATTTCAGCTGATTGTTGCTTGCTACGTTGAAAATGATCCAGATAACAATGATCTATCGGTGAGCTGAGTTGGAAGTTGTGAGAGTTTTTGAGTGAACTTTGAACCAGGTGCCTATTTCAGCACATCTATGGGAGGCAGATCCTGTTCAATAAATGGCTCTCAGTTCTTTTCTCTCAGTATTTCTTTCCAGTGAGCCAAACAGAAGCAAAATAGTCCAGGGCCACTGACACTCAGCAGGAAGCCCCAATCTCAGCGCAGCACGACATCAAAGGTTATAGCTTTTCTGAAAACATTTCAGGTTGGGGGATTCAAGATGGTTGCTACACTTTAAGAGGGGAGTTCGTTTTGACAGACATACACCTCCTGACTGACACAGAAAAAAAAAAAAAAGTTTCAGCAGCAGGTAAGGGCATTTTGAATTTATATCTTGCTTATGCTTCTTATTTTAATTTTCACGGAAATTAGCCAGGGGACTGAATGGTTTTGGACTTGGCTGTATCTTTGAATATCTACCATAAGAGTTGCAATTTGGCTGCAAAAACATACACCAAGGAAGCATTGTCATGTTAACATACAACCCATTGTCTACATGTTTACTGATTAGAGTTGACAATAAAGATAACATTTTGTTATCAAAATCTATAAAAGGTGTGGACATTAATGGTGATAAAACTCCATACATTGGACATGGTTATTGAAATACTGTAGGGCAAATATTTCCTTAAAGCAGTCATATACAGTACGATTTGGCAGCCACTGATATTTTGCTAAAGTCAGTGCTGTTCAATATATGCTAAGGATCTTTTGTTATATTCTTTAATGTATCTAAGAGTAAGTAGTCTATTTAGTATTATATAAACATACAATATTTTGGTTCAAGCTAGCGGCGTCCGAAGGAACATTTAAGAACACTTTATTGATATAAATTTGGCCAGCCAAAACAACACCCATGCCTTTTGTTTTTTTTTTATAAAGTTTTATAAACTTCTAAACCTTAGAAATTATATATAAAACACAAGTTATCAGTCCTTTACTTGTTATTTTTACAATAGTTGATCTTATAATCAATTGGATTACATATATTCCACATTTTTCACTGCAAAAAAAGTTGTTAAATGCAATGTGAATTTCAGACAAAAGTGACTAATGTCCTACTTATGTTGCTGAGCAGTGAATAAAACTATTTTTTAGACCAAGAAGAAAGCAACTGACCTGGAAAAAAAAGAAAATTTTATATTTCCATTTAATTAAAAAATTAAAAAACTAGTCCTATCTATTTGCTTCTACTAATTAAATACTTTATTATTTATCAATACTTATATCCAATCAGTTTTAGTTCAAAACTAACATAGTTATAGGGACTTCTTAAAAACAAGGGTACTTCTCGTTTGAATATATATACTGTCTGTCTAAACAGAAAAAGGGAGACTTTGAGTTGGTCCTGATTCTTTTTCAAGTGTATTGGTATACCATTTATTATTGAAAGCATAAAAATAAACTGAAAAGAAATGCAGTAGACCAAAATGTTAAGAGTCTGGTAAAATCTTTAAAAACACTTAAGAAATATCTTCTTTGCAACATTTGAAGTACAACAGTTCCCCAGTTTTTTCTTACCGGCTGGTCAACACGGTTGATCCCCACTAGGAACAGGGACTCTGCTATAAACAGGCTGATACACAGGTTCTTATGGATGGTGTTGCGGTCACTCTGTAGGCCGCGGAAGAAGCAGAAGGTGAAGAGGCTAATTAGCAGGCACACAAGAGAAAGCAGGATGCCCACCCAGGTGATGACGTCCAGGAGCATGTCGTGAATAGGGTCTGTGTTCTGCAAAAGAAGTGAGAACAGAAGGTGCTCAGAAGCATAAACAAAAAGAAAAACTCTTCTTCTACAGGTACTTCAAATAGGATTTCTGGGGATTTGGCCAAAAAATAAACTGCATTTTCAGGATATGTTTAATATTTATGGTACAGACAAAAACAAACAAATGTTGAGGTAAAGATATAACCCTGAAATAGAAGCAATGCTCAAGCTTTTATTTTCACAATTGCTTTCTAGCTGTAAAGTGGACCCACTCAACCCTCCAATAAAACAGTATACCGAGCCACAGGTGGCAGATATGAATCATGAATTAGTCAGTGTGAATCAATTTCAAATGGCCCCCTGTTGTTTCATTTTGGTCAGGTAACAAAGTGAGCAGCCCAATGGGCCACAGGTGTCTCAGACCAGCACAACACGAATCCAATCAAACCGTTACATGGGCAATATCGTTCACTGTTTGCTTTTGGGTAATTTTCTATTTTTCACATAGTCATTTGGAACCACAGATAGCTTTGGCCACTCAAAAAACGTTCTGTTCACAACAAATAAGTAGCATTCTTGGAAAGATAAAAATCCATTCTTGCTTGAGACTTGACAGGACCAACTGTTTATATCTCTTAATTGAACTCAGGTAGACCTTTAATGCAAGAAAGAAAGATATAAACCTAAACACTATATTTCAGGTGTAACCAAAGCAATATTTTAAAACTTCTATGTGTCAGGGTACTGCGGTCGTGTCTGAGGTGCGCAGCCTTTTTTCTCCCTCTTCTGCAGGTGGCTGCTGATAAGCGGGGAGGTGCTGAGCGCAGGTGTTCTTTGTTTTCGTGGTGGCTGGGAAGGCTTTAAAGGAAACGGCTGTCAGCAAACCGGCACCAGAATGTTAGCCATACATGGTAGAAACTCAACCAGCCAATTGTCTCACATCGTTTACTTCCCACTCTAATTTTGTCCGGTGCAGTAGTTTGGTCGGCTTTGACTCCCTCTTCCTTTGGTGGGTGGCGGCCTACTGGTTAGGGCATTGCTCATGGAATTCAGTGGTTCTAAGTTCAAGCCCCACTCCCACAGATTTCCCCCTCGGTCCCTGAGCAAAGACCCTCACACTGCTCCCCGGGCGCTGCACAGTGGCAGCCCACTGCTCTCCAAGGGGATAGGTTAAATGCACAGACAAATTTCTCCAATGTGAGATCAATAAAATTCAATTATCATTGTTATTGCACGACTCACAAGCCTCTGCCGAGACGGTCAGGCTCTGGTCCACTCCGCAGCCTCTCAGAGATTCCAAGCCATCCCGTCAAGCCTCTGCATGCCCCAGCTCTCAACCAGCGTAAGGCACAGCTCACAGCCTAACCCTCCAACGATCAGCCTCATCCCGCTTGGAAGCAACCTTCCCTGCAAGCACCAGCATCTCCCGCCTACGGACCATGGCAGCTCCACGCACTCTCCCCAGTTTTCACGTCTCTCGTGGTAAGCCTTCTAGCCCCGTGTTCTCATCGTACACAGCAACTCTCAGTAAATCTCGCTCTCTGTCTCAGTGTGCCCCATGCCCTCTTTGCTCTCAAACATCCTGAAAAAAATCTGCTTGTCTTCACCTTTGGTTTTTCAACTCTCTTAAATCTGCCTTATTTGTGTCCTCAGTGTGTTCTGCATGTGGCTCAGAAAACTAGGAACAATGACCCTAAGGATTGTCAGATGGTTTTGGTAAAATAGGAAGCCAGTTCAAAAGTTTAGGATGTATTTTCATGTCTAATCTCTAAACCTTGATCAAAACAAAAAAAAATCCCCAAAAAAAAAGAAAAAAAAAAAAACAACCTCAGTGCCCATTGCATAATGTTAGTGTGACAGATGTGATAGAACGTGTTCGATGAGAATTTAAAAGAATCATTATCTAAAGTTTTGATCAGGAGATAACATGTGCCATATATGGGTTTTAGACTCTTGTTAAATTAATATTGATTCATAGTATTAGAACCAAGGATTGTTTTATATATATATATATATATATATATATATTCGTGGACATTAATTAAAGTCTGCATATATCCTTTTTGGAACAAGCAATACATGCATATTTATTTCTGAGATGGAGGCGTATATATGTTTATAGCCATTAGTCTTTGAAATTAAAGTCTGGAAAGTTTGGAACATCTAAATAACACGAGTCAGAGCTGTAGCACAGCAGCATATTTGCATACATTGAAGAATTGGCCTCCAAGAAATGCTAATATATCTACACAAACAAGTATCTCTTTAAATCCCATTTCAACCACCCTCAGCATTATTTCTACGAGGACATGAAAAAAAGAAGTTTGTCGGAGTTTTATACAAAGGCCTTGTTTATAGGGAGCTGAGCTAACACTTGCAGAGAGAGAAACAGATGCTGATCATTAACAGGCTCTGGTATAATAACAGCCGTAGCGCTCCTTAAGTCTGGGGAGAGTGGTCTTTTGATTTTCCTGCTTGATGAACCATCTTGTATACATTGGAGGGGTGGCAATATGTTGTACAGATCAGACATCTGGGACTGAATGTGCATTGCTGTCTCTATGCCATACTTTAGATGAGAGACCATACAGGAGGAGGCAACACATGTCAGTGTTTGGGCTAAGATCCTTTGTGACGCGTCATGCATGTGACACATTGGTCCGCTCTCAGTCCGCTGCTTGATAGCGACATTAATGCAGTAGGTGGTATAAGCTATGGCGCATTGCGAGGAGGACTCTGAGTCCTTCTGGGCTATTCTGTGGCTGCAGGCTCTATCCATCTTAATCTCACCTCATACTGGAGAGAGGTCAGCGAAAAAGACGTCAAAGGAAAAGGGGAGAAAAAAGAAACAGGAGGAGTATGACAGGCAGTGTATCTACACCATGGTGATGGATTTACCGTGGAATGGTTTCTTTGTTCTAAGAGGTGGATAATGCCTTTGCAACACCAGACAATGTCTCAACCGAAAAGGTTCCTTTAATGCGAGTGCCCAGGCAGGATGGCAAATGATGGGATCTGTAGGGCTTCTAAACTTATAAATAGCAATGGGAATATCTGTAAGGGTCTCTAAAGTGGACAGAAGTAGTTCACTCAACTGATTTGCTCACTTTGATGTAAGGGCTGTCCAAACATACAGCAACAATGCTGTTTGCAGAACCTTGCAAAAGTATTTGTCACTTTTAATTATGTTATAATCACAGCATTTTATAGAGTTTATTGGGATATAATGTGACAGACACAAATGACTAAAATAAACCACATTCTAAAAAAATGCCTTTGGAGGTAATCTATGTATTTGACCTTTCTTTACAAAGTCTTAGGCCTAGTCCCATTCCTCCCCATTGCACTTGGTTTTGTTCCTAGCATTTGGTTTTGCGCATTCATGTGAAAGGTTAGTGTGTCCCAATAGTTATAAGAGCTAGGGAAAAGTGCCCTCCAACCCTTAAAATGAAACCCCTAGACCGTTTGAGGGCTGACTTCGGAACCGAGTGGCTTCCCAGAACTCATTCAGTGAAAGGAAAAAGGCCGATTGACTGTTGAAAAGAACTGCACAAATGTAAGTAAAGTTTTACAATTAACCCCGCATTTGAAAAAAAAAATATATGTTGGAATATCTTAGACATAAATACAACTCAATACCTTACTGTTGTGTTAAAATATGAATGCCTAATTGCCATTTCTCGTAATACACAAATTACTGAAAGTTTTTTTAATGCAAAGTAGGATGATTATGACCGCGGTGGGGTATGTTGGAGGTTGGATGTTCGGGTTTAGAGGGGTCAGCGGGAACTAGCTCACGGTCAATCCGATTGAGGGACTCTTTCGGCCAGCATCTCTCAGCTGCTCCGGGAGGCGCTGGGTCCCTCGGTTGGATCAGCCCCGGGCTGGATCCCAGTGGTTTGGGTGTCTGGTGTCGGGCTTCTAACTAACTTCACCCTGGTATGATTATGCTTGACAGCTTTTAACAAAATCATGTTAACACCATTTCTATCTTGACGCGTGGAATTGCAACGGCCACTATATCAGCATAGAAGGTATAATGTTATGCATAATTGTCATTGCGCTTGTTAATTGCGCAGCACGCACACACGGTAACTATTATAAGGAATGATTGTTCAGGTTTATGAGTAATATCTCCATAGTTCCTGCGCTGATCCATATGAAAAAAAGAAAAATAATTCTAGAATGTGAACGCAACCTATTGTCTTAATAAATGATTCAACATACATTAAACGGATTAATTAGGCCAAAATAGCGTCAGAACCATCTTGGGTTTTGCAGATTTCTTCTCTGAAAACATACCAAAGCATTTTAAATTTTCTTATATATACATAATATACAGGAAAAGATCTATATAATATCTTTGGAAGAAGAGACTATCATATTACCATAATTTCATGTACATAATAAAAAAAAGGCAATTTATTTTCTAAAACAATAATGATAAGTACATTTTAGGGCGAATAAAGTTGTGAAGGATTTAAGATTTGAGATTAATTTGGTATTTGGAGTAAATGAATGATCCATTTCCAGTATATGTTAACTATGGAGTTAGTTTGTTTATTGTTGACATAATTTGCAGATTGTTTGTATTTCTATATTTCAGTATCTAACGCGAATAAAGAGGGTTTCATCTCATTGAATACACTATATTCTATGAATGTGAAATTTCCAAAAATATAAATAAATTAATTAGTTTTGCCAGTTTCTTGTTTGGGTGTGTAAAAAAAGTGATAATGCTCTGGCCAGAGAGGGTTATACATGTGTTTAATTTTTGAGATAAGTACTGCTCTATTGCTTTTCATAAAGGATGTGGTTACAGGACATGTGAATAATAAATGAGGGGTTATTTCAGGTTCAGGTTCAATATTGCAGAAGGAAGAATTTGGATTTATTTCAAGCTATTTAGCTATTTCATTATTTGTAGGATATGTGTTATGAAGAATTTTGAAATTAATTTCACAGATTTTATTGTTAATGGGGTATTGATGAGTTACTGAACATGATTTTTTCCAGTCTATTCT